TCCTGTGCCCATTTTCCTGTCCCATTGATTGTCTTGTTTATACAGACATTGGTTCAGTGCTGTTTCTAACTCGCATGGTGGATTAAAGGTGAGACCCCTATTCCGCAATCGTACCTTACATACAGCACAGCAAGGCGGCATAGCGGCGTGATATTCCTGCTGTGAATAGGCAGTGTAAAAGGGGCTATAAACTGTGGTGATGCCTGTCGCTTACAGTGGCCTGCCATTAATAATGCCTAACTTCGTAAAATGTGAGTGGTTGAGTTATATAAAAATTTAGCCCTCTACAGTTGTCATGGAGGATGAAATTAACTATAGAGACCAAAATCGTTTTCTGTACCAGGCTGTAAACATGTTTATTTCTGCTGTAGCGTTGGGCATTTTAGCGTAGGCGTCTGTGGGGATTGACTCAATTCTGGAGCCAGCCTCAAGTGGCCATTCAAGGAACTGCAGTTTTTGGCACTTCAGCATTGGCTTTATTTACAGCCCATGGAGGCTGCTGCAAGCACCACAGTGCCAACACAGCCTCACAGAGCTGCTAGCATAGCTGCAGACTGTTCTAGGTTAATGATAAGGTGACATTTAAAAACAAATAAAAGTGTCTTATCAGACTGTTTGGCCACCATTAGCTGCCAAAACAACTTCAATAATCATTAGCATAGAAAAAGGAGATGACTGTTGCTCTGTATAGTCTACTGTAGATCAAAAAATTTGTCAGATTAAATAGAAAGGCTATCCTGAAAGAAAATAAAACAACAATCATAGAAAGCACAAACTACAGAGTAAATTTGACCCCCAAATACCAAAAAACAGAAAGCAACTGGAGGAAGAAGCAACAAATATTAATTCAGTCAAATCTGAAGTGTAAAATCAAAAGTGTATCCACTGGGTTCTCCTGGTTTCAGTACACTCAGGGTGTGTCAATTTTCTCATTTATCACCATAAACGTTGCAGTTAAGATAGTCAGGGCTACCTTAAGTTTTTTTTAAACCTGCTTTGGTTGGTTGCTTTTGTGCATCAGTCTAGAGATTCTTTAAACATAAGACCAAGACAAGGAGAAAAGCCTAAATACTTAAGTGAACATTTTAAGGAAATCTCAAAGAAGACTTAAGGGTGTTTTGTGCAACTGGTTTTATTTTAAAGAATCCTTAACTAGGACTTAAAGGAAAATCTTAACTTAAGATATTATGCGCAGCTGGCCCCAGGCCTTTATTATAAGGCTTCTAACTTATTATCCTCATTGGAAGCCCTGGTGCAGACTTACTCTCCTTGAAATATGTTCGTTTTCTTGACAATTTAAACACTATAAAAGGCTTTTTAATATTTCCTCTTTTTTTTCTATATGTTTAGAGTGCCTGGTTGCCCTTTCTGTCACTCGTTGGCACAGTTTCTTCAAGCATCTTGAGCTCTACAGGAGGAATCAGTGCCATTCTTCCACTTGATGTTTTATTGATGGTTATGGAGAGCGCTGTGTCAGACATTGGTCCTAATCTCTCCCATTGGTGTTCAACTGGAGTGAAAGCTTGTGACTGTGTGAAGGTCATGGCATATGATGCACATACACAGGTTTTACAACATACACAGTTTTGCTGTTTATGGAAGAGATCCTTTTGTGGCTGCTGATGCAAAGTCTAACTGTTCACACAAAACATGACAGGCACGAGGAGAAGTAATTTGCATGCAAACCTTGAAAGACAAGGTAGAATTTACATGGAGGCAAATGTTGATTTGGAAAATGAAAAAGCAGGAGAGCCTTTGCACACAGAAGTTGTGAGAGGACGGGCAGGGGAAGAAGGGGACAGGAACAGGCACATTTACTTCAGTAGATAGTTAGGTAATTAAGAAAATTAGAGTAAATTACAGGGCGGGAGGACTGGCTGTTCTGGTAATGAAGCCTGATTTCTTATCATGAGAGAGAGTAGGGGGCTAAACACGAGGAAGGCTGGCTGCAAGTGAACACAGAAAGTAGGGGAGCTAACCTGGACTGTCAATGTAACCTGACTCTGTGAGTTTTCCTGTGTTTGGAAGGAAGACACACTGAACGCCATCATAGACGACAACACAGAGGAAAGACTGGATTCAACCCATCACTTCCTGGTGCAGACAAGCCCAGACTGCCAGTGAGTCCATACTTCAAGAGTCGCTGCCATGTCTTGTAGGTGAGTGTTTTGTATTTTCTAGAGTAAAAAGTTTCTGTGATGCCTGTTTCAACTTTTTCACCTCTTGTCTCCATGTTTTTGTTAATGTTTCGGTCATTATTTGGTGTTACTCACTTTGCACTTGCAACTTAAGTGAAGAAAATTTTACTCATTTTCTATCATTCAAAGAAAACTAAGACTAGGAGTGTGTGTTAAAGATAAAATCCTCTGTCACATAATATGTCGTGTTAAATGGGATATTGCCATGTCGTGAAGGGCTGGATATTGATACTCAGTCTCTTTAAGGCAGGCTGTCCAAACTTTTTGGAATGATTGCCAGATAAGATAATGTGAAAACACCTGGGGGCAGCTCCTTTCTGCATCATATGGGTCATTTAAAAACAAAAACAACCACATATACACAAATGACTATTTAACCTAACTTAGTATTTATCATTCCACCGTTCCTAAAAGTGGCAGCCCTTGCTCTTTACGCTTCTTTACTGTGGCCATGTCTGCTACCCTGCCAGGAAATATCTAGTGTTAAGTCATTGTTCATTAGCGTGTTTATCGAATGACTATGAATACACATTAAGTCCACCTGTGTGGTTCCTGCTCCTACTCTGTCTACGAACTGTGCGATTTTCCTGCCATCATTAGGTGAATGAAAAAAATGCAAAGTGATTTTGCTTGATTAATCAATATTGTGTAATTATAAAGTATATTTTGAAAGACAAGCGGAGGACCATGTAAAAATGATCTGCAGGCCTCAGTTGGTCATCGGGCCTTACTTTGGACAGGTATTGACTGATATAACCCAGTATGAGGTAGTATCGAAACACCTTCAGTCACATGATAACTGCATTTGATCCTCTTTGTGCTGGGGGTCTGATCCCATCCCGACTCCCTGCTGGATCAGCAAACTTTCTTTCGCCTCCCTGGTTAGTATGAGGTACGAAGTGACACCTATCAACCAACATCAAACATCAAGCTTGACTCTGTCCTCAAACCGGCTAATAATGTTAGCCATGTGATGCTGACATTTAACCCTGTTACTGTGTGTGGCAGGTTCTTACAACTCCTTGGCACGGAGCTCACACTCCCACAGCAGCAGCTACAATCCATGCTCTCCAAGCGAGGTGTTGTGTCAAGTGTGGTTTACTTGAGGGAGATGGCAGTTCAGCGTGTCAAGATGTTCAAAAGTATGGCTATACTACAAGCTACCTCATTCACGCTATGGGTATCGAATGAAGTAGGCTACTCAGTTGTTACCAGTATGACTTTAAGGGTACTGGTATCATAATTATTTAAACAATACACAGCCCTGATATCATGATACACTACAATTTCTGAGGGTGCTTTATGGGCATGTTCAAGGTCAGTAATGTCGTGTTAATGTGTAACCAATGGGCAGGGGGTACCTTGCAGCAGCCACCAGGGTATGAATGTGGGTGTAACTGGGTGACTGTAGCATCAAGTGTCCAGTAGTAGTGTGACCTCTGAGTGGTCAGAAGCCTAGAAAGGTGCCGTACATATGCAAGTCCATTTACTCTTCCTGTTTTAGTTGTGCAATGGTTGACGCTCCTCCTTTGTGCCGTAAATTGAGCCTCAGTTTTCCCAGAAATCGTACTCAGCGGCAGATAGAGCTGCATAGTGAAAGCAAGCTTATAGGAAACCAATCTAAAACGCCAATGGTGGCATTATTCTATAGCTATTACACTGTGCAATCAGCATTTCCTTTATAATAATTCGTAAGCAAAAACCTTGTCTATTTCCTCTGTAACACTATTATGATATTTTTGAAGTTTAGACAGTGAAGGAAAGAAACAGACCAGCATTTACATTAATTCCTCTTCACACACATAATGCGATGCATTGCAAAAGTCTCATGAGTTGCGACACTCAAATGAATGACCAAATCTAGGAAATATCTTTGTTGTCACTCTGAGGCTGTGAGAAAAAAAAACAAGTGAGTGTCGTTTGCCACATTGCTGCGCTCGTCCTGCAGCCTGAGAAGTGGAGCTCTGTTGAGGGGAACAGAAGCCAAACTAACTGTTAAACAAGCCAATCTGTGAGGAGAGTAATGCAGACTGCAGTGGCGGGCGTTAACCACGATGAACGACACCTGCACTGCTATGCGTGTGTGTGTGTGTGTGTGTGTGTGTGTGTGTGTGTGGTGGGTGGAGCTACATATACTGCAGGCTCTACCACTTATTTTTAAGTTTTTACCCAAAGGTTAAACAGTGCTGTCACCTTTACATGTTTTAGTTGTACTTCTTCTTGCATATTTGCACTAACACTAAGAACAACACAGTTTACAGCCTAATGAGGAAAATGTTGTTTGACTTGGGAAGAGAATTGACCTTCTGTAGTTTCCATGAATTCAAATATGCCCTTTTGGACCTCTTGTAGGTCAGAACGATTTGCAAGTTAAATGTTGATTGTACCTGTTTGTTCCACAGGTTGTAAAATGTTGGGTCATGTGTTTGTGGCATGTGTTAAACAAGCCTTCCTCATGGTGCAGTATGTTTGTGTTGCATCTGGTGTCACTTTCAAGCCTCTGCATGCTCATTGTGGTATCAGGAGGAGAAAAGGAGAACACATGATTTAATATTATCTGCTTCATGCAAGTGTTCAGTTGTAGTTGTGGAGTTAGCGCCTTGGTAGTCTGATATTAAAACAAGTTCACAGTTGCAAATGGTTTACCAGCTGAAAGCAGCTCTCTCTCACACACACACACACACACACACACACACACGTATATATAGAGGGGGGAAGGTTGAACAGCAAATAAGGAAGTGTTCTGTGACTCTGACCTTTGTGTGTTATGCACACACACACTTGCTCATACACACCTGGAAGTAAAGAACTAACACACGGTGGTGGCAGCAGACAGGTGGGCAGGCAGAGGGGAAAAGCTTTTCAAATGTCTGACTGAGAGACAAGGTGTGGGTTTCTTCACAAAGGCACGCAAAGCTCAAACTTTACATTCGGTGGATTTTTTTTTTATTCCTGTAACAGAGGTGGAATCACTGGACGGACACTCTCACTCATGATTCACCGCTGAATGGAACAGTTTCATCCTTTCTGCGTCGACACCTGCACTGAAAACTAAGCGAGGGAGCATCAAAGAGCAAGTTTCCAGAGTTTAAACCTACTCTGCTCTTAAATATGATGAGTTTTTGTTTTGGTCGTCTATAAAAAACAACAACAAAAAAAACACACGTCTCTATCTGTTGGAGGAATTCCGGCCTGTCAGCTATTTTGGTTCCTGTCTTGCTTTCACTATTTTGTGAAAGGAGATGTAAAAAGGAAGGAAGGGGAGTGCGAGTGAGAGAGAACGACACAGAGAGGAGGGGAGACAGACGTATACAGTCCGAGCGTCTTGGCGAGTGTCAGTTGTTTTCAAAAGCAGCTGAGAAGAGTAAGTGTTCACCTGCTTTCCTATTGGGACGGAGAGAGGGGTTGGATATAAGAAGAGGATTGGGTGGAGGGAAGCGTAGAAGGAGAGGAGGAGGAGAGTGCGGGTAGTTTGAGGGTTTGTTTGTGAATGTGGTGTGATACAGAGACATAGAGTCGATACTTTTGATAACAGATGTGTGTGTCAGAGTTTAGAGTAAGTGTGTAAAGGAGAAAAGTGGGTTATCTTGTGTTTGGTGCACTGCTGTAAAGTGAGGAAGTATTGAGGAACTGGGTGTTTCTTTGCCAAATTAGAGACAAAAAAAACTGCGCTCATGCTTGTGAGTCTGCACATGTGCAGGTACAACTCTCACCAATCACTCTCCGTTCTCTTTGGTCCCAGAAGAAGCGAAGACACGACATGGTTCGGTGAGTCAAGATCCCCCCGCTGGACAATGTAACGCTCCGCTCGTCGACTCTGGTCGTGCTCTCTGTGTTTTTTTATGCAAGGCGTGATGACAACTTCTCTGTTTCCATTCCTCCTTCTCTTTCTTTCCCCAGCTGTCGGCTGGTCCTGCTCTGTTCCTCTATCATGTGATTTGTGATGTGTGCTGTTCTGTGTCTGTTTGCGTAAAGAAAATGTGTCATAAAGGATGTTTTAGCTCAGTGGTTGAGTAAGAAACACCTTTTTTTTTGTATGCTCAACATTCACGCTGTTTAAAGGTTCTCGACGAGGTTCCCTTTTACCTTGAGTTGACGGATCTTTCTTTATGTGACTGTGCTGTTCAAATCTCCTTCCTTAACCTGTTTGTTGTATAAAAGCTCTCTTGTGGGAACCTAAAACTGAAGAGGAAACATATATTCAAGTGCAAACAGTCTAGATGTGAATACAAAGTTGGGTTAGGAATCCTCAGAAGCCCCACGATATGATATTTTCACGATACTTAAGCCATGATACAATATTACTGTGATTTTAAATGTTTTGCGATAACATATACTGCGGTTTATTACTTATTTTCTACTGCAAATTATATCCTTAAAGAAAAACTTCTGCTTTATCTAATAAGATACATTTTCCAGTCTGTTCATCACACTTAAGTCATTTTCATTGCAGCAAAGTGTATCTGAAAAGCTAATAACTTTATTACTCTACGATGCTACTGAAAGCGTAATTTGTATTTGCAATATTGGTAATTTATCTAATAAAAAATCCATACTAGGTGTCCATGTATTGATACATTTTCCACACAAATGTACAAATGTTTCCCACCCCTAATACACATATTTTAAGCTTTATATTGAACATTTTCACCCTGAAACTGTGCAGAAATATTGAAAAAAGCTGAAGTTATTTAATACCTAAAGTTGAAAGCAGCAGGCTGGGTCGCAGGGAAGCTCTTATAATGCCAAACAGCCTGTAGTTAACTGAACATTTGGATCATTTTCTCCTGCGAATGCTCAACCAGACTTTAAAAAACAGCTCTCTGTGGGGGTTTTCTGTGTTAGCTAAGAGGCTGTGAACTGAGCTTGACCAAAACAGTTTTTCCAACCTCAGACGGCTCCAGGAAATGATAAAATTATAGATACATAGTGTGAACTGATGCACTTGTGTTACACTGAGCAACTGAAGTCAACAGTGTTGCTGAAAGGGCTTGTGAGCTGTAGCTTTAGTGGATTATTTTGGGTTATATAAGATGTACAGTGTAATGTGACGATAGCTGTTACTGTGGTATTCTATTCTGGAGAGCGGACGTTCGTTGAGCCAGAGGTAAAGGTGATATATTGGTTCATTTTAGTCTTTTGTGGTTAGAAGTTAATACATAATGTTCATTCTGGTCTATAGTGAGGGCTGTGTTTCTGCAGAATGAGCCCAATGAAAGATACAGTTTCTATAATAAATATTAAGAATGTAAAAAGTGGTGTACAAGTGAAACTGTGTGTCAGTTATGTTGTCAGTTAATCAATGAATTGTTTAATCTAAAAAAATGTACAAAAATAATGGCAAATGCTTGCCACAAGTTACCGCAACACAGCTATGTTTTAATTCCTAGGTGTTAAATGAAACAGAAAAATGGAAGAATGAAAGGAAATCTTCACATTTACAAGACTTTAACCGGCAAAATTATTTATATGATTATAAGAATTGTAAATTTTCTGCCAATCACCTTTAAAGATTGCTTAATTAATCATGTCAGAATGAGACAAGACTGTGCTGAGACTGGCCTCTACTGCAGTGGAGATTTAATAATGACAAACTATTGTAGATTTCTATTAAGAAAGACTGAATTAGTTGCACATTTGTCTTATATTTGGTCTGTCAAAATAAATTTGTACTTCTTGTGTTGCAATGTGCTCAGCTGAATGTGAGGAAATAATACTGGGTGTGTGTACTTGGATGTTTGTGTGTCAAGGCGTACGTGTTTATATTTTTAAAAGTCTTATCTGTGTGTCAGCTCAGTGCAGTTCTGTTCACACTGAGTGTATTTTTACTGTGTATGCATATGTGTCGATGCAGGTGGTTTCACAGAGACATCACAGGCCTGCAGGCCGAGGACATGCTGAAGACTCGAGGCATCCATGGCAGCTTTTTGGCTCGACCCAGCAAGAAAAACGTAGGAGATTTCTCCCTCTCTGTCAGGTAATAACGTTTGCAAAAACACCACAAATCTCTCTCTAACCTCACAGCTGAGAAGAAATCACACGTTCAAACTAAAGTGTTAGTAAACCTTTAAGCTCATAACTGACAAAAAAAATTGTATTAATATAGAATCTGATTGATCGTCCTGGGACTCTTTCCTTTACTGCATTTTTATTTACTTCAGAAACTCATCTGCCGCCTTTAAACTTCACTGTTTATGACAGAACTGTTTTACAACCTAATGTGCTGGAAAAGCGATATTCTTTCTCTGTGTAGATTGAAATCAAACTTTCCACTGCACCTTGTGGGTACAGTAAAATCACACCCTGCATCTATGAATGTGTCAGTACAGATAAATGTTGACGCCTTTGCACTTATCCAGCTCTAAGATGTAGTTGATTTGGTTGTTATTCACAATATGAAACACTCAAGTGAAATTAAAATAATTTGTGCCACTTAAAAATAAGAATAAAGATGAGGCGCAGTACTTAAAACAACATTAAATCAATCAAATTAAATGCAGTCAAGTGTGATAAATGAAATGATGTGTGGTACACATTAAGTAGCTCCAAATCAACACACTGAGCTCATTTAATGATAACATGTCTTTCATGAGGTTTAACTGATGTAAAGATGTTTAGTATCAAGTTAAATACTGATCACAGTACACCAGTCTGTAGTTTAAAGAGGTCAGCGTTTAGATTAGTAAATGCACTGCATCTATACTTATATTAAACTGAGTAACTCAACTGTTTCGAGATTCACAGATATATCTGGGTTACTATTATGCAGATGTACAGTATATTGTAAGAACTGAGGTTCCTGTGTTGGTATTTCTGTTCAGGCCTTTAAGGCAGGAAGCAGCGCAGCTGTTTATTTTGTAACTCTGAATACTTAAATGCTTAAATGTGTGAGATCAGTGGGTTATTGATCACAGTGCAGCAGCAGTAGTGCTAGCAGGACGTAAAAGTTTTTTTGGGAGGGTATTTTTGCCTTTATTTGAGAGATGACAGTAAAGGGGCAGACTGAAAATGGAGGGAGAGACAATGACATGCAACAAAGGTCCCAAGGCTGGAATCAAGGATAGGATGTTGCCGTTATGTGGCATGTGCTGCGCTCGACTACCAGCGCTCCCAGTTGCAGATATTCTGAATAATGGACCCCACCAGTGATAAAATAAATAACAGTATTTCGTACTTGCCTTACCCTCCAATCATTTCTGCAGATTAAGAAAAAAATACAACAAGTTTTTACACGTTCTCATGTTCACAAGTGCCTTCCTTGGCCCCACAGACAAACACGCCAAGTGGACTGGAGCCTTTAAAGAGGAAATAGTTTTTTGCTTTAACATATGATTATAAAATAATTGTTGACTGCACAATGTTATGACTATAGAATAGCTATCTGCATTTTAGATTTAAGAGAGATCTTTTAGATTTAGATCTCTCTTGAAAATGAAGGCTTAATTTATGGCACAAAGGAAGTGCGTCAACCATTGTGCAATCAAAACAGGAAGAGGATAGCATTTTGTTTTCCCTGGTAGCTATCAGTAGCTATCCCCAGTCACCAAAGAGTATCAATGTGAGATCTTTGCAGTTACTATCCTCAGTAGTGGAAATGGCGGATGGTTGAGTAACCAAAGTAACTGTGGAAAGTGTGGTTGTTGCTGGGGTCTGACGAAAATACAAAGTGATCTAGTTGTCTTGACGATAGCGGTGCCAATGATAATACCACTTGGAAATGCTAGCGGGGGGCACAGTTATATGTTTCCACTTCAAATGATATGAATGTGATGTGTTCGCTTTGTGACAGACTTTGTGACATTGGCTCAAAAATGCATCAAACCATGACAAATTTTTAAAAATTATGAATTTTCCACATTTGCAGATACTTTCTTCACTTTTCTGTCGTCTTAGTGTTATTGTTATTACCGAATATAGAATAATTATTAACATTTTTTTTCCAAATCAAATCTTACCAAAGACAATGCACGTCAAAATTAAGATTTCTGGTCCTAAATAATAAGAGGAAACTCCACATTCACATTATTACTCTGATAAAAGCTCAGGCAGTCAGAGAGCTACCATATTAACTGCAGTCTTCGCATGACGGAGAACACAGTGGGCAGATACTGAAAGATCACATGTATGTGTCATAGACAAACAGAGCTACTATATACATAATGTACTGTATATAGAACATATACAGTAATACAGCCTGTGAAAATCAAATAAAGCTCTGTGAGAATCTGATCTGTGGCTGAACACTTAAACATTTAAAGCAACTAAAGGTTGAAGAAATATATTGTGCTGTTCAAGTTTTCATACGTAAAACTCCTGACACAGAGATGTTCTCTTTTGTGTCATCGTGTGACCTGACTGTTTTATCTCCGCAGAGTGGGCGAGATGGTGACCCACATCCGCATCCAAAACACGGGAGACTTCTATGACTTGTACGGCGGGGAGAAGTTTGCCACCCTGTCAGAGCTGGTGGAGTACTACACGGCTGAGAATGGCATCCTGCAGGACAAGGATGGCACCGTCATTGAGCTCAGATACCCCCTCAACTGCTCCGACCCCACCACAGAGAGGTCTGTCACTCCTACCTCTCTCTGTTGAACCCCCTGTAGGTTAATGTGGCCCACACTCACCGGTTTCTCTTCAGTCCCTCCACCCACACTCTCGGGTTAAGTGTAACAGTGTTTGGTTAGGTGGTTAAGTCAGCGATGATGAGTATTATTTCCTTTGACAGTTGTTTATTTAATGGGGGTAATAAGTGTCATTTGTAGGCTTGTTATTCCATGGGGTGCAAACCTTTTCCTCTGGGGTGAAGGTGTTTTATTCAAAGCTTCTGAAGCTTTTGAATAATACACTTTGGTGTAGAAGCGTCTTTGTCAGAATATGTCAGTGAAAATAAACGCCCACACTTAAGATAGAAAGAGTCCGCTGCTGTTGAGGCTTCCTTCCTAAATTTGCCTCTGCAGCTGATGGATTACATGTGATCAGGGTCGACATTATCAGAGGTGGGAAACAGCAAAGTTCATCCACTTAAGTGTATTTCTTGAATATTTCATCGTGAGACTGTCAGGGTGTCAGCAGATACTTAAAGGAACATTTCACCCACAAAATGACCTTCAGTAAATCGATTAGTCACCTCCTGTTACCTTGGATTCGTGAAGACAACTTTGTGTTTCTCATATGACACCACAGAACACAGCAAACATATTGACTGATTGATTGCGGATCATTTTTAACAACAGCAAAACTGTATTAAAACATCTCTTTACAAACTCTCACACAACTCGTACAGTATAGTCTAAGTCTCATTTAACCAGTCGTATGCTCAGTTCTTCCGAAATGTACATTTTTTACTAAATCCTGACTCTTTAAAATTGAACTGAAAATGAAACTCATCCATGCACTCATCAATGCCAAACTCCAATACTAAGGTTTTTTAGTGAAATGCACGTGTTTGGAAAGTACTGAGCATATGACTGGATAAATGAAACTTGGATTATACCGCACAAGTTGTGTGAGAGTTTGTAAAAGGATGTTTTGATATAGTTTTGCTTTCTTTCTGGTGAAGTTTTCTGCATGAATTAAAGGTATCACGGCATGACAAATTGACAAACAAATAATTCTTTATTGGTATATTCCTTTAAAAAGTCTTTTAATGTCTTAAATTCAATAATAAAATAATTTAATAGTCATTAATTAGTCTTACATTTGAATTTGTGAGGTCTTAATTGCTTGTTTTTTAAATCTAATTTAATTTCTAATTTTTTTATTTTCTTTTTGTCATAATGAGTATTAATAATGATAATATTATAATAGAAAAAATAATAATATAATTAGTTCTTCACATGAAAATAGACATAATGGACATAAAACAGTTGAGGCAATTCAATATAAAAGGACATTTAAAGCAGTTTAAAACATGAAGAAGTGGTGGTGATTTGAGATCCTATTAATCGAAATCTCATATAGTGTTTCTTCTTGTGTCACCTTTTAAACCTTATGACATCATTGACAATCAGAGCCTATAAAACGGGCACTGACTCACCAGCAGACATTGATTAACCAAATATCTTCTCAAGAGTTAATCTCACTGCGGGTATTGTCTCTGCCGGCCCACAGCTACCACCCAGTTGTGGTGCTGTGGATCAAATAGAACTCACCATAGTCTTTCTCCATCAGATCCACCGCCCACTAATTGTACCATAAACCTTAAAATAAAAAGATGAAATGAATCATAAAAAGTCATAAAATCATGACATAAAAAAAATATCTGATGTGACAAATCTTTAAAGCCAGCACTGAACCTTAAACTGTCTTTTTACTTTATACTTACAATTACCTGTTGGCAAAATGGAGATTAACCTAACTTACTCTTAAAACCATATTCCTACACAAAACCTACCTCTTCATGGGACCACGTATATACTGTATACCTTTATACTTACCTGCAATGCTTGAATAAAAAAAAAACAGCTCTTAAATGTTGGTAAAAAATTATCTTGAAAAGGTCTTAAAAAGGATTAAATTTAAGCGTCTGATACCTGTAGACACCCTGTATATACCTGCTCTGCTTCTCTCTGCTGCATTCCAGATGGAAATACTTATGCACATTTTTTTTATTTAAGATGCCTCCTTGACACATTTTAAGACATTAAAAAAATACTACATCAGCTTAAGTTACGTCTTCTCCTTCTCCCTCATTAAACATTTCAAAATCTGTGACTCTGCAAATATTGTTCATGTCAAAGTGAGGTTACTGTGAGCAAAAGACTTTTTTGGTCTCCAACACAATAATGCACAGAAAAAACTTGCCGTTAGACCAACCAATAAACCAAAAAATGAATAAATAAATACAACATGAATCTAACAAATATGGAGCGACATATTTCCAATAAAGAAAAAGTAACCTCCTGTTATGTTTCCGTTTTTATGTAAATTAAAAATTGAGGAATTCCTGTAATAATTATTACTCCTTGCAGTCAGTGATTCAAAGACTTTGTGTGAATCCTCTAATGGTGAAAAATAGAGCTGCAATGATTAATTGATTCTCTGTCAACCAATACATTTATTCACCAACTAATTTGATAATCAGTTAATGAGTTTGAGTAATTTTTTTAAAGAAAATAAAGTCAAAATTCTCTGATTCCAGCCTCCAGAGACAGACAGACAGTAAACTGAATATTTTTGATACAGGTTGACATTTTTCTGACATTTTATAAACCAATCAACTAATAGATTAATCAAGAAAATAACTGACAGATTCACAGACAAAATAAAATAATCAATAAATGCAGCCCTAGTAGAGAACAACACGCCTCTAAATTTATGTTCGCTTGTAACCGGTGATCAGAGAGACCTATTTCCTAATAAACTCAGATGTGGAGATTCTGGAAATGGTTTATGCAACCACTTGACAAAACTTTAGATCACTTGTTTCCAAAACGGAGAGTCTAAAGAGTATTTCCACATTGAATCAAATACCTGCTTCCTTTTTCACACTTGCAGGAGTCCCACAAGTCCCGTTTTCTCTCAGAGGGAATCGCTGTGCTTTCAACTTCACCACCTTTCTCTGTATCTCTCAGCTGTAGTTACTGGTTGCTTCGCAGATTAAGATTTAAAATTTAACATTAGATAAACTCAAGAAATATACTACTATGTTGAGAGAACTCTTGTATCTCCGATGTTAAACTTTACAGGAACAACTTTGCTGTTTTTCGAGAAACTTGTTTCTTCAGTACGGAGCATTATGATGTTCGTCAAATTTTCTGGAAGCAATGCAATCCTTGGAATACATGCTGCCTTTTACTTAACATCTTCATACAGACAGAAAGTACTCTTGTTTTTTAATTGAGACTTGAAAACTTTTAAAGTACGCTCGGATACAGGACTAGATTTGCAGCGGTGCACATTCCTGTTGTGATACTTTGAGTTTTTTGATAGGAGATGTTGGTAACTCGCAAGAGTCTGTTTGCTAAATATAGCTTCTAGATAATTTTACAGATATTTTCTTACGTCTGTGTTGCATGCAGAGCTGACCACATCAAAGCCTCCTCCAGGCTGCAACCGTGAACAAGATATAAATCGGTTTATTGTGTGTCAAATACAGGCTAAAAAACACATTAGTGTTTTTATAGTGAATTGCCCACATTGTGAATGTAACTTCCATGACATTACAGCTGAAGGTGGTGTTTGATTATTGATGGAGCTTTTATCCTCCCAGCTGGAAACATGTGCAACTGTAGGCTTCTTAAAGTAGGTTAATGTCCAACAAGTAGTGATAAACTCATACAGTTGCACTCCTTTTATGAGTCAAGGAGGACACTACTTTCTATCGTGTGTGTGACTGTGTGCTCAACCCTAGCTGGAGGCTCTACCCTCTGCCCCCCCTCCTTCTCGTCCTTCTCTCTCTGTTCGTTTCTCTAACTTCCCTTTTGTTGCTGCGGTTGGAAACTTTAAGTTTTGACACTTTTGAAAGCAATGGCCAGACCCTACTTGTCTTCCTCTATTGCACACTCCATCATGTTCTTGCTCACTCGCTGTCTTCCTCATCTCACCCAATCTCTCTTTCTCATCTCAACACATGATCACACACACACACACACACACACACACACACACACACAGACCTCAGCGGGTCACAGTTTATGATCGATCTCATGTATTTGGCAGCTTATCTTTTCTCAGAAAGGAGGATAAATATGGTGAGGCCATTAACACGCTGACATTATTTCATCAAGGTTATAGGTGGAGCAAACATGGCTGACATGATTGCACGTTAGTGCGAGATGTGCATGGTTGAATTGTCTGAAGTGTCCACTCAATGTGCAGTACTCTGTGAATTATTCCCCTGCACAGGCTGTTTGGACACCACTTTTTTCATTGCTGCAGGTGCTTCATGCAACCTGTTGCAATTAAAAACTATCAGTCTCTATAAAAGCATACACTGATTTGACAAGTAAGTAAATCAAAGAATCGAACCTGAAAAACCATGTGCAAAAAGACATTAAGAGAGCAGACGCAGTGTGTGATGGGGAAGGGAGGTGGCGTGTGTGTGTATGGGGGGTATCTTCTGTGGTTGTTACATATCGAAGGAGTGGGGGGGGGGGGGGGGCTATAAATACTTTGTCCTCTTCAGCCACGAAATCTGTCATCAGAAATTTTCCGACCGCAAAGCAGGAAGTGTAGAAGAAGAAATTGAGAACAGTGCCTAAATTTAAGTCACAAGCCAACACGGCCAAGTGTGCGCCTTCGCTAATTTACGCTCACACTCCACAAAAACACACATGCACACATGCTCGGTACACGGTGGTGGACAGAAATATAACCTATCTGTAACAGCAACATCTGTGCATGCTGTTTTTAACCATACACCCAAAGCACCTGATTCTGTTGTGGCTTTCTATTTCTACTCTCAGTGTAGAGAGCAGTCCGGAGTACCACATCAGTGAGCGTCTGACAACCACTTAGCCTTAAATAGACTTATGCATGTAACAGTCACAGTGTTAGCGGCACACTGCTCACATACAGTAAACAGGAGGCAGTAATAATTAAAAAAAAACTGATATTTTTTGTTTTTTAATTGCTGCTTGCAAAATGTTAAACCTTAAAGCACTGTGACGTGCTCATTTTTTAAGCTAGTGCAAACTTAGTTGTATCTTGTGAAACTAGATGACCTGAGGCATCTATCGGTAGCAGTTTTGCATAGCTTGCCGGGAAGGGGGCTAAATGACGTTCTAAATGTAGGCTAAATTTTGGCAAGGAAATAGAAAGCATGCCCATTTTTAAAGGGGGTTCCTTTTAACTCTCATCTCAAGATGCCTGATTGAAAACGGGTTCTATGGATACCCAGGAGTCTCCTCTTAACTTGAGAAGGCTTGTCTCTAGAAAAGTTTTCTCCCTTAGAGTCAATGCACTCCTTCAAATTAAAGCTGTATTTGTCTTTTTGTGGAGAAGGACAACCAGCCTGTTTGAAGAAGAGTAAATCGTCTAACACGTACAAATACACATTAAAACAGGATTGCTGTGAAACTTAAAGTGTAAACTGTACCAGTATTAGTCTGTGCACATCAGATTATTAGTAATATGAGTTGTAAAATAAGAAACCAAAATATATTGTTATGCAATTCCTTAACTCTAACATTGCCGTAGTTTTTAACAAGCCTAACGAATCCTTAAAATTCAGTTACGGCTTTTGGTTTTGTTGAGCCACCCCAAGACTTTCAGTGGCCCCATCTGGACACGCCTATGAAAAATTAGTGTGGGTGTCACTGCCTTAAAAACATCTACGTAGGTTAAAGCCGTTAACCGTCGCCACAGACAAACCTAAATGTAGCTCACGGCATTGATATCTTTAGAAATGTGTACACAATGTGAAGCATCACTTCCTTTGTGTTTCAGGTGGTACCACGGTCACCTGAGTGGGCCAAATGCAGAGAAGCTGCTGGGTGCACGGGACGAGTCGGGGACCTTCCTGGTCAGAGAGTCACTGTCCAAGCCCGGAGACTTTGTCCTGTCGGTTCTGACAGACGAGAAGAGCAAAACGGGAGGAAAGAGGGTCTCCCACATCAAGATAATGTGTCAGGTGAGTGCTTGTCCTCATGTATAGGGGTAGATTTTTAGAGGGGGTTGCAGGGGACACGCCCCCTTAATATTTAGAACAGGGGGCTTTTATTTTGACAAAACTAGACATTCACAGCATACATTAATGCAGAACAGGCACAAATTGCTGCATAACAATTCACCAGAATGCAGGAAATTAAGTGTTTGATGCTCAAAATTTTCTGCCAGAGGACCCCCAAACCCTCCATTTTATATGTGTCCCTGCCAAAGTTGAGGCAAAACCTACGCCCTTGTCCTCAGGTGTGTGTGTGTGTGTGTGTGTGTGTGTCTGTCTCAGCATGTGACCATGTGAGTGTCTGTGGCATGCTAGATAAAGGGTGCATGAAAGGGTTGTTTTCGGTCAGTCTCTTGTTTTGAATATTCAGAATCAGGAGTCCCTGAAACAGATTCACATCATGTAAAAATACTGAGGGGTATTCCCGCAGTTGTGTTGTCGCACTTTGTAATCGGTATAAAGTCTCATTTCCCCTGCCTTGTGCAATAATAGACTGTTGCTCATTTTTCAACTCAGCTGTTGTTCACTAATGTCAGGCACAGGTTTACTTCAGATATTGATTACCAAATAAAGATACATGAAACCCCAAACCTGGTGTTAATACACTCGACTGCTGGTGGTGGGACAGCAACAGGTCTTACCGCGTCCTCTCAGTCTCATTTTCCTAGATTGTGTCTTTCCGTCATCATCGGGACTTTTGCATGTTTTTTTTTGCCAGTGGTTCACCTCATAGAAAACACCTTTTAGGCCTCATTTGAATAAAGGCCATTGTTTTTGTGCATCGCTGGGGTGCAGAAGATTAATGTGAGATTAGTGGAAGGGTCACAAAGGCCTTTTCATGAGCACGTGGCAAAGATTAGGCGAGTTTCCCGTCAGCACACGACTCTGACCTACAGAGTCTGCAAACTGCTGAATACATCAGTTTATATTCATGCCTTTGAATTGATTTTATGGCCAGAAAACAGTGTCATTTATTTGAGTAAAGTGTTGGAAAGCAGTCCGCCACAAAAATAACTTTAGTATTGGCTTTGTCATTTCCACTTTGATTAAAGGATATGATGAGATCCTCTTTTGTTAGAGCACACTTGTTTTCATTTTGGCCATGATTGTTTCTCTTTTGAAACTTCTTTATTTTTACACCAGACAATTTGGCATAACCCCTGTGTGTGTGTGTGTTTATCCAGATTGATATATGTGTGTGTGTGTGTGTGTGTGTGTGTGTTCAGAATGACAGGTACACAGTTGGAGGTTCAGAGCTGTTCGACACGCTGACAGACCTGGTGGAGTACTACAAACGCAAAGGCATCGAGGAGATCTCTGGGAACTGGGTGTATCTCAAACAGGTGAACTTTTCACATCCAACTCATGGAGATAAAACACATCAATTAGTTTTGTACCACAAACTCAACAAGGTGAAAACCAGAAACAGGTCTTTGAGAACTGTTTTATAAGACGAGCAGCACAGCCCACAGATAGGAAATATTAGTCACAGCTCTGTCTTAATGCGGCCTTACTCATGATGATGATGATGATGTGGATTACGTTCATTGGCTCGTCTTTTTCTTTCATCTTTATTATAAATTTTTTCCCCTCTCTTTGTGTGTCTCCCTGTCTCTATCTGTCTGTCCTCTGCAGCCGTATTACTCCACCAGAGTGAACGCAGCAGACATCGACAGCAGAGTGAAACAGCTGGATCAGACCTCACAGCAGCAGCAGGAGGGCGAGGGAGAGAAGAGCAAGGCGGGCTTCTGGGAGGAGTTTGACGTAAGACTTGACCCGGCCTTGGTTATGTTCCCTGTGACTGGTTCTTACCATAATGCTTTAATCTGTGGTGTGAGAATCACAGGGTGGTCCTAGAGTGGGAAAAAATAAATTATTCAACAGGTATCTGATAAGAAATTGACTGTCCATAAGCCGTTAACATCTCAAGACTTACTTCCTGACTGTGAGCAGGACTAGAGATGTTATACTACCATCTTGTGGTGGTAAAGTAAACCATGTCTCAGTGTCATATCACATAGACTCAGACTTTACTTATCAGAATCAGAATCAGAAATACTTTTTGATCCCTGAGGGGAAACTGCGATTCATTACAGTCACTCTGATATAAAGAATAGAGAATTATAATAAGTAAGAATAAGAGTATGAAATAGAAGAATGTAAAGCAATAAAATAAAATAGAAATGAGAAAATGAGAAAAACTAGTACTTAAGTAATTAAAATTAAAACTGTAAGTGTGAAATTTGACTACAATATATACATCAATAGAATAAAACAAGAAAAACACTGACTAACACACACACACACACACACACAAAATCCCCCACCCGATTTCTGAGTAAAAGAAGATGGAAAAGCTTCTTCTAAACTCAAAATTAACTAAAACTGCAAGTGGTGATTATTTCTATTAATGATTTATCTCCTAATTATTTTTTTCAGTTGTTTGTTTTATAAAGCATCAGAAAATTGTAAAAAAGGTTAATTGCAGTTTCCTAGAGCCCAGTGTGACTCCTTCACCATGGTCCAAAACCTTAAGATATTCAGTTAGTTATACAAAACATTAAACAGAAAAGCAACACATCCTCACAATCAGGACGCTGAAACTAGGGAACATCTTGCACTCTGTTAAAAAAAACCTGTCAGCCGATTACTGAAATAATTGTATTTTCTCTCCATCATCCGATTAGTAAGTTCACTAGTTTTCTCACCTCTACTGGGGACACAGCTTCAGTAAGATCTTGTTTCTCTAGGTGAGGTTTTATTGGTTGTTGCACTATACAGTTTCATCAGTGGCAAGGGAAGTATTCAGATCCTTTACTTTACTATTATCACACTGAAAAAATACTCGTCCTGCACTGAAAATGTTAATCATGAAAAATTATGTTAGTACTAGTCCATACCCATTGGTAGCTTTGTCACCTTCTACCTATGCTAATCCTCAATGCCTATGTGCAGTTTCACATAGATTGACCATGTCAGTGAGTAGACTGACTGACTGACAGAATTACCATGACTTAGTCATACCAAAAATTAGAAAAAACAACAACAAACACTGGGCCACAGGGGGAGCCACAGCGATCAGTCGCATTTGAGTCATTTTTAAGCATTTTTCTGTTGTTATAGCGCCACCCAGTTGCCAATTAGAGTTAAATTTCTCCAGTCACCTTGAGGCGTCCTGTTCTACATATCTACCAAGTTTAGTAAAAATTGATATGGCAGTTAGGTCTAGATAAGAAATTAGCTCTCTAGCGCCCCCATTTTGTTTGATGGGGTCAATAATGGAGGGGTCCCCTCAGATTATGCGTGGTCTTATGCCTACAAAGTTGCATGGTGATCGGTGAAACCCTTGAGATGTTATACACCTTTATGTGATGAGCCACGCCCTCTGCAATATTCATTGCCTTATAGAAGCTCAGTTTTAGTAAGTTTTCCAACTTTTGCCAAGAGGGAACTTTAGATATTGGTCCCTAGATTATGTTCACCGAGTTTCATGCAGATCGGTCAAACTTCCTAGGAAGAGATCGATTTTAAGCGTTTTCAAAAAAATCAAAATGGCTGAAAATCTATATAACCAGAAGTTATGGGTTCTTGAGGCAAATTTGTTCCTCATGAGGAGAGGCATCTCTGTGCAAAGTTTCATGTCTCTACGACATACGGGGCATGAGATATGCCCATTCAAAGTTTGCAATTTCAATATGTTGCTATAGCGCCCCCCTTTGGCCAATTGATGCAATATTGCTTCATTCGCATCCTCCCATGACCCTCTACCACTGTGCCAAATTTCACATGGATTGACCAAGTCAGTGAGGAGAAAAACGTGGAACAGACACACAGACACACCCACACACACACACACACACAGAGTTTTTTCATCATTATATAGTAAGATATGTACTGCATAGTGTTAGCATACAGTATAAATTTGGGACACAGAAAGTATCAAACAGTCGTCTTTCTCTCCTGCAGGCTCTTCAAAAGTTTGAGGCAAAGGTGAAGAAGAGCCGAGAGGAGGGTCAGAGGCCTGAAAATAAGAGCAAAAACAGATACAAGAATATTCTTCCCTGTGAGTCTATAATCTTCTTCACATCATTATTCTCTAATTAACCAAATCTCATGACAGCACTGACATTAACCAAATGTTTCTGTCCTTCCCTCCATCCACAAGTCAATGACACCAGGGTCATCCTGCAGGACACTGATCCTGATGTTGTGGGTTCAGATTACATCAACGCCAACTACGTGAGAGTAAGTCTCTGACTTTACACAGTAGTAACACCAACGACAAAAACACAACACAGAAAGCTGTCACACCTTCTTTTATTTTTTCTCTGAGGTCAGTGTTGTTTGTTGACTGAGCAGCGTTCAGTGGTTTACTGTGTGTTTGTAGAACAACCTGTTTGAGGCCGGAGAGCAGAAGGTTTACATCGCCACCCAGGGGTGCCTAGCAACAACTGTCAACGATTTCTGGCAGATGGTATGGCAGGAGAATACGAGGGTGATCGTCATGACAACGAGAGAGGTTGAGAAAGGGCGGGTTAGTATCAAAACACCAAGCATCGCAGCAGATTTAGCCTTTACGTGTGTGTTTTCTTTTGTCTCTGAAAATACTAACAGCATCAAAATATCTGTTTTTTATTACACATATTTAATGATGTTTCCTCCAAAACATAGTCATTATTATTGTTGTAATAATCATGGCTGCAGATCTGGTGACAAGTTTCGGGGGGACACAATCAGTTGTGTTTTTTTTTAATTGCACGCGTGCAGATCATGCCCACAGAGCGCTTGAGATTGGCAGCATATTTCAGGATTTCATAGAGGCTCATCACCAAGTCATTCAAAAAGCACTACACAGAGAATCATATGCTCACCTTTACTGTTTGTTTCTCTGAAACAGCCAATAGTACATGGAGCCAGCCATCACCCTCCTCTTCACTGCTTCACTGTTAGTTAATGCTACTTCTAGTTTCAGGGTCTCAGGCATGATATGTCCACTCACGTTCTCATCTCTCGCCTCTCACAGATTCCCAGTTCTCCTCATCATCTTCCCTTTCTCCCAGTATATGGGACTACTGTATACATCAGTGGATATGGATGGATCAGAACATGAGCCCCTAACTGAGCTTGGTTAAACTAACTGATCATGTTTTTACAGAGCCAGAAATGCTAGTGTTAGTACAAGAGCACAATAAATACTTACAAGTTACACAAGTTGACCCAACACAATCAGATTTATTTAAAATCATCTTTATAGGAATAAATATCCAAGTAACAAAATATTTTGTCCTTATCACGTCACATTTTTGATCATGTCCATGTACAGTTAGGAGCCTTGTTTGTTTCCATCTGCCATTTTGCACAGCATGTAATGTAATTTCACAATTTTCATTTATTTTAGAAACTGAGAATGTGGAGTCGGAAAATACATTTGTTCAATTTCAGTCATTTAGGCTATTTAGAATTGGGGGGGGGGCAATTTGTGTTTTTCAGAAATTGGGGGGACATGTCCCCCCTGTCCCCCCCGGGATCTGCACCCATGGTAATAATCATAAAAAGCTTGGTGAACATATTAAGTCACACTTTATTTTGAGGAACAATTTTTAGCACAGTTCTTATTTTGAAGTGCTGCTTCCTGCTGTATTTCAAAGTGTGAGAGGTTGAACAAACTAAACAAAATAAAAATATGCAATATACTCTTTATTTTTTTGCAGAATAAATGTGTGCCATACTGGCCCGACAGTGACAGCACCAAGGAGGTGGGTGCATACATAGTGTCCGCTGTTTCAGAGAGGGAAGCTGCTGATTACAAAATCCGAGTTTTGGAGATTGCTCCTATGGACCAGGTAACCTCCAAACACCGACCTCTGATCTCACTGCACACACTCACTGATGTAAAGCTTTCACAAGGGCTTTGATCTTATTATTGTAATCCCATAAAATTTTCTCTTTCACAGCCAAAGCAGTCTCGCACCATCTGGCACTACCAGTACATGAGCTGGCCTGACCACGGCGTCCCACAGGAGCCAGGTGCTGTCCTCAGCTTCCTCAGTCAAGTGAACTCTAAACAGGAGGAATTCCCGGATGCTGGACCCATGATCATCCACTGCAGGTATGAGACAGCTGCAGAGCCAAAAACCTCATGACACCAGGGTTGGAGACCAAATATAATGATTGTGGGGCCTCAGAGCTGAACATGCAAACTATGGATTGAATTATTTATTGTTGTTGAGATGTTGTTATGGGACCCCAAGTTAGTAGCGACACCCCTGCATGACACCTGCGTAAAAGCCTTAAGCACACTCAAATTTTCCTTAGAGCATTGATATAAATATTAAAGGAGCAGTTAACCCCAAAATCAAAATTCCAATTTCTTCTCTTATCCGTAATTCTATTCATCAATCTAGATTGTTCCAGTGTGAGATGCGGGCCTGAGAAACAGGTGAATCTGTGAGCTCATGTTTTATTTGCTCTAGCAGATGCATCTAGTCCCCCTTGGTGCCTGACCCAAACCGGGACACTCACAACGGTTTTCACAGCCACAACAGATATTAAAAGTGACCTGTTACACATCTCCCTGCTCCTATTAGCTGTAATTACGTCCAGTCTGCCTTGTCCAATGCAACACACCAGGCTCACAAAACTCAGATCAGACTGTCAAACTAGGCAGCGCTTGCATGTGTCACTTTGTGCTACGTCACATGTCACACTCTGATTGGTTGTATGTCTATCCAACTGTGTCCAGAGGCATGCTGGTCTGCGCCTATTGATAATGCCCACTGGAAACTGAATTTGAAATATAGGAACTATAACGATATTATTTCTACACCCAACAAGGTCTGTGGATTAACTTGAGTAAGCGGGTCATGATTTCTGGAAAGAGACATTGCGGTTGACATTTTTTGGCGCTTTGAACACCACAAGCTGAGTGCCATTTAGTTCCATTATATTCAAGAGAAGGCAGACATCTCTACAGCTGATACCTCAACTCACACCAAAACAATCTAGGTTGATATGTAGCACTACAGGTAAAAGGAAAAACAAGTATGTTTGATTTTGGGTGAACTGTCCCTTTTAAGGCTGCAACTAATGATTATTTTAATTGATTCATTTGTGAAACATTTTTGGAAACACAGATTCGTCATTTAGTCTATGAAGAAAGAGCCCATTGCAACTTTATAAGATGAGATCTTCAAATTGCATATTTTTTATCGACTAACAGCTAAAACTGAAAAATATTCCATTTAATAGCATTTTTTTTAAAAAATCCTAACTTTTCAGAGGATTGAAGCAGCGAGTGTTAAGCTTTTTTTGCTGAATAAATAATTCAAACAACTAACTGATTATCAAAATCTGTCATTTAATTTTCCTGTACACTGACTAATCAATTAATTGTTTTGGTACTATGCAATACCGCCAACTCCAAACACATGAAATTCTCAGTTCCTGATGTGATGTAATGCTGTGAAAAGCATCACAGCATTACACTTACCCAGCTCAGGTTTCATAATCATATGTTAGGTGATAACACTCAGAGGTTTAAGATTAAAATGATTATATTTTCAGGATTAAGATTAGTAGAAGCCGAACAAAAGGTTTTGAGTCAACTGACAGTTTATCCTTTTGGAATTTTCCCCGTGTGATGTGATGGATACTTTGACTGCTTATGTTTTTTTATTTTTAAACTTGTTGTTCAAAGGATTATATGATTGTTGTGTAAGTATTTTGGTATGTAAGCATGTTCACAAAGCTGCACCGCAGTGTTAAGATGTCACATACTTTCTCTTTATACAACTGCTCCAAACACTTTTGACATGTGACCCACTTAAATCCCATCGGCCTCATCTGTGCTTTGTGTTTTAAACTATTTAGTTATTTTTAGCATGTAAAAATGATGGCTGTGACTGAGGATTATTCTCAGTCTCAATTAATCTGCTGATTATTTTCATGATTAATGTCAAAAAATTGTGAAAAATGCTCATCACAATTTTCCAGAGCCCAACGTGACATTTTCAAATTGCTTCTTTTGTCCAACTAACAGTTCAAATCCTGAAGAATCTTCTTTTTCTGCTTTTAAAATGACCAAAATGATTAATCAGTTATCCAAATAATTGGCAATTAGTTCTCTTTCGATCGACTAATTGATCATTTAATATTTGCAGCTTAAGTTAAAATGCTAAGCTAAGAGGTAAACAAGGTAAACATTACATCTGATAAACAACAGTGTGTTAGCACTGTCATATTTGCATGCTAGCATAAGGATTTAGCATGTACAACCTCACTGACACAGAGCAGCTAACATAGACTTTAAGATTTGTAAGTAGAGTTAATTATGTTCAGTTTTGTTTCACATGTCTTGATTGATGGAAAGCAGGGGCGGAGCCACATTTTGTAAACATTTTTGGGCTCAGGCCAAACCTGGGGGTGCGGGGATTGTTTTTTTCAAGCCTTCTGAGATACTTAAAAATCTGAACATTATCAGGGAAAACATGATAGTTACCAAAGAAAGAAAATCATCCTGTAGAGTTGACATCCTATTTTATGTCATAAATATATTATTTTCTGACTGTGTTCATAATTTTGAAACTTCAACACAACAAAAGTAGATGATGACCATTTTTCACTCCTGCCACCTAAAAAGAGGCAAAAAATTGACTGATATTGCTATTTTTGCAAATCAGGGATCCTCAACAATGCCGAGTAAATGTGGTCTACAATATTCTGAATTCAATATTAGGCCAACAGAAGACCATTTACCCAATTACTGTATATTAGATAACTTTAGGGAACATAGGGCAAACAGCATGGGCATATATTATCATCTGAATGATAATGGTGGTAAAGTTTTAGGATTATAGGTAAAAAACCTAAAGAATTTGGAGTATTTGAGAAAAAAATCAGGGCTGGGGCCTCAGATGTCCCCCCCTCCTCTCCGCCTCTGATAGAAAGCTATATTAACTTTGTTTCTTCTGTGGATTCTTGCAGCGCTGGAATCGGACGAACAGGCACGATTGTGGTGATCGACATGATCATCCAGACCATTGACACTATCGGTAAATCGGTTATTGAGATACTGTGTTGAGTAAAAACAAAAGCATTCATAATATGCAGTTGTTTTCATTTTCCATACTGACTCTACCCGATGCTTTCATGTCTCACTGTGTAGGTCTGGACTGTGATCTCGACATCCCGAAATACATCCAGATGGTCCGAGAGCAGCGCTCTGGCATGGTGCAGACGGAGGCCCAGTACAAGTTCATCTACCTAGCTGTGTCCGAGTACATACAGACCACTAAGGCCAAAACCTGTGCCTACATGGTGAGCAACAGACAAGATGAAGAAGAGTCTTTTCTTGTTGCTGAAGTATAGATTGACAGAGGGAAAACAGGGACATGGAGATGTGTATGTCAATAAGCCTTTGCACTTTGGCTGCGGATTTGAACACCACAGCCGAGTAGTTCAATGACAACAGAATGATACGTTATCAGAGAGCAGCTGGTAAGAGATGAACATTGACCCGGAGACAGAAAACAATAAACCACATAGACTAAACCAGTCACAGGACCTCTCTCTCTCTGTTTGAGTAATCCCCCAGTCATGTCTGAAATGTGTCTGTGTTTCTCTCTTCCCCAGGAAACTGAGACAGAGTATGGAAATCTGCAACTCAAACACCAACCAGCGAGCAGGAAGGTCTCAAAGTGAGTGAGAGTGTGTGTGTACAACAACGAGAGAAAAGAAAATGTGTGTGTGAATTGGATGTCCTTAATACATTCACATCGTCACTCTAAACCTCACACTGCCGCCCTACTTTCTTTTCAAAAACACCGTGTGTCAGCAGGAGTCTCTTTCTGTAGAGACAGAAGGAGTTGTGTGGGAAGGGAGGATGCATTGTAGCTGCAGCTGAAATCCACCTCAGTTTCTTGGTTTTTTTATTCTACACGAATTATTCATTTGAGGCTTAAAGTATAATTTTCCTATAAGTGCAATATGTAATGCCAGGCCACATGCTCCAAAGAATTAGGAGGTGGCAGTTCACCAGTCTGCTGCTGGGTCCGTACAATTTAAATCTAACATCATTGGTTATAAAGACAAAACAAAAACCTAACAGCAGGGAAACAACATGCAAAATTAACCAAACTTCTCAAATCCTGAGAGTCAAAATAACACTGTGATATTATAATCTTCTCTTCACTTCACAATGGCCTATAATTAAACCAAAGCAGTAATTAGACGTCATGTAAATAGTAGTGACCAGGCACAAATGTAATTACAAATGGAAACAAAAGGGAGGAAAGGGGGCGTTTGCATTCAGACCTGCACCAGGCACACAGCTGACAGCATCAGACATGATCAAATTAGCAGAGGAGGCAGGAAGGACGCAGCTGGCAACTGACAAGCTCAAGGGGCCGAACCAGCAGGGGGCCAGAGGCTGCTCCCAGACATCACTCGATCAGTAAATCTGCACTGCCTACATTTGTGTTTTCTTCATCGGCTGGCACTTCCTCTATAAAGTGTGGACATCTGGATCCAACAAAACCTAAAACAGTCCACAGTGAATTTAATTCCAGTGTGTCAACTCGAGCCCTTTTTACACAGAGATCACACTGTAGGGCCGCTAAAAAGCCCCTTCTTTATGCCACCTTTGCATTTTTACACAGAACCAAACAATGGCGGCATCATGCTGCTCCAGTGTGTGATTTAGGACAGCGCAAAAGAGGTGTGACAGACGTGACATGTAACACAACAGCGCGGCCTCTAATATGACATTTAACATATGCGTCAGCAGCGCTTTATAAACAATAACAATGGAATAACAGGGCAATAACAATCATTTATATATATACATATACATATAAATATATATATTATATGGCGGCTGATCTTGTTCTCCGGAGGGTAAGGAGCTCTATGACCTCACTGTTTTCCCAATATGTGGGCATTGTTGGCTGCTGTTCTTGTTTCTGTTAGCTGCTAACTGCTATCAGCTACTTTTTAAATCTCCCACAGTGGGTTGCATGCGTAATACATCGTCAAAATGTCCCACCTGAGACACCCATGATCTCATCCTGCTGGCTGTCCAGTTTATACTGATGTCATTTTGGTGCTGTTACTAACTCCGATGCTGACTTCAAGGCTATACGACTTTGTCCCCCATTCTGCGATCGTACCTTTTATACAGAACAGCTAGGCAGCATAATGGCATGAAATTCACACCTTGAAGAGGCAGTGTAAAAGTGGCCTCAATTAGTTTAAGTGTTGGTGGGTAGTGGAGGGGCTTTCTTTGTTTTATTTGCGATTCTTGGCACTAGTAAGAGCTATAATGACACCTCTGACACCATGGGGAAAATTTATAATTTCCCTGCAGCCTGGTCTCACTCCCAGGGCATCAATATGCTACTTGTACAGTGTCCCCTTTGTTACTATTAAAGATGTGACTAACGCAACTCACGATCTTTTCCTACCCCAAACCAAGTACTTTTGTTCCCTAAACTTAACTGTGGACCCCTTCTTAATCACGTGAGTCGGCTCACGTGACTTACCACCAAACCCCCTCTTAGTCCAGATGCTCTGACAACTCTGCGACGTAGCTTCTGCCCAAGTGTCAAAATATGATGAGTAGGGGTGAGATCACGCTGTCTGTTGGCATTAAAACATTACTTCACTGAATCAGTGTTGCACTTCCATAACAATGGATGACTTAGAAGAGACAGAGACAGAAAAAAACCCCAATCAAAATCAAAGCAACAGAAGCTGAAAAATCCTGACTTTTAGTGTCTAGTATGGGTCAAAATCCAAAAAATGCTGGATCCTACGATTCCCATAATGCACCCCTTTCCTTATGCTGCGTTACATTTACCTCGGAAAAGGGAGGTCAGAGCTGGAAATGACGTCACCCCCGAGTAGATCGTGTTCCAGTACAAGCTGGAAAACCAGGATGTTGTTAGCCAGTTGATAACAATGCATTAAGCTGTATTTTGCACATACACTAACTTTAGCAACATGTCCACAGATAGAAGTTGGACAAGACTGTGTGTACAACTGTTTGAAGGAGACACAAATAAGACAGAAATGCACATAAACAGTATATTAATACAGCTTTCACTACTGTTGATGCACAGGACAGCCATCTTGGATTTTGAGGTAGGGGTTGGTGAGGTTCCTCCAACTTGCCAAGTCAGAAATCAGACTTCAGGGGGCATTTGAGTTGAAATTTCGAAATTCTGACTTCAAATGGAACTCACCATTTCAGTGTTAATTGCGGGTCAATCAATCAGTTCCCATGATGCAGCTGTTTCTGTTTACACCCCCCGATAACATCATCAGGGTAATTTTTTTTAGACTTTAGAAAGTTCCCTCCAGAGCAACTCTTCTCACTCCTTACAACAAATAAACTGAACTTCATGTGTAAAAAAAAAAAAAAAACCAAAAAACGGTGGCATGCCCCTTTAATGAATGAGGGGAGGGGTGTACAAACCAATTCAAAACACCCCACTTGTCTCTGTTCTGCCGTCTGAATAACATTTTTATGACCTCTCAGCCTGGACGTCTCTCATGTATGAACTAGGTAATGTTCTAATTAGCTAATTAGGAGAGAAATAAAACAAACAGTGAACCATTCAGCTCTGAACACTGTAAACTTTGACCCACTTGGAGCTCTGAATAGTTGTCTGCCAGCTTTGAGTGATTGATTCATGGTTGGTTGGTCTGTTTAAATCGTTCTCTTGCAGCAGCTCTGCTCATTAACCTCTCCAGCGTCTCTGATTCACTTCTAACAGAGCTGTGTCGAATCAGTGCTGGCTGGTATATAAAAATATATACGAATGAAAAAATCACTAATCAGCTTATTCCTTGTCTATTTCCAGAAACAAGGAGGACGTTTACGAGAATCTGTCAAAAGGGAAGAAGGATGGAAAGAAGTCAAAGACAGACAAGAAAAGTGGCTCCGTGAAGAAAAGATAGGAAGTTTTATCAAAGTATGTCATGTTGTTATATTTATGCAGGCTCTCTTCTCTTAAATAATTTGTATTTTAGTGGAGATAATAAAATTAAGATTTGACCGTTAAGTTGTTGACATGAGATGTGTCACATGAGTGCTTGGTTGAAGTGTTGAGAATAAAGCCAGAACATGTGTGAACACGTTGTTGTGTAATTGTCTTTTTTTTAATTTAATTTCACTTATTTGAACAAAGATGGTATAATGTTTGTGGGATGCTTTGATATTTAGGATAGAAGCTACTTTGTTTTATCTGCTCCTCAGTGTTGTGTTTGGCAGGAGATGTAAAGCTAGATATACAGTACAGGCCAAAAGTTTGGACACACCTTCTCATTCAATGCGTTTTCTTTATTTTCATGACTATTTACATTGTAGATTCTCACTGAAGGCATCAAAACTATGAATGAACACATGTGGAGTTATGTACTTAACAAAAAAAGGTGAAATAACTGAAAACATGTTTTATATTCTAGTTTCTTCAAAATAGCCACCCTTTGCTCTGATTACTGCTTTGCACACTCTTGGCATTCTCTCCATGAGCTTCAAGAGGTAGTCACCTGAAATGGTTTCCACTTCACAGGTGTGCCTTATCAGGGTTAATTAGTGGAATTTCTTGCTTTATCAATGGGGTTGGGACCATCAGTTGTGTTGTGCAGAAGTCAGGTTAATACACAGCCGACAGCCCTATTGGACAACTGTTAAAATTCATATTATGGCAAGAACCAATCAGCTAACTAAAGAAAAACCAGTGGCCATCATTACTTTAAGAAATGAAGGTCAGTCAGTCCGGAAAATTGCAAAAACTTTAAATGTGTCCCCAAGTGGAGTCGCAAAAACCATCAAGCACTACAACCAAACTGGCACACATGAGGACCGACCCAGGAAAGGAAGACCAAGAGTCACCTCTGCTTCTGAGGATAAGTTCATCCGAGTCACCAGCCTCAGAAACCGCAAGTTAACAGCAGCTCAGATCAGAGACCAGATGAATGCCACACAGAGTTCTAGCAGCAGACCCATCTCTAGAACAACTGTTAAGAGGAGACTGCGCCAATCAGGCCTTCATGGTCAAATAGCTGCTAGGAAACCACTGCTAAGGAGAGGCAACAAGCAGAAGAGATTTGTTTGGGCCAAGAAACACAAGGAATGGACATTAGACCAGTGGAAATCTGTGCTTTGGTCTGATGAGTCCAAATTTGAGATCTTTGGTTCCAACCGCCGTGTCTTTGTGAGACGCAGAAAAGGTGAACGGATGGATTCCACATGCCTGGTTCCCACTGTGAAGCATGGAGGAGGAGGTGTGATGGTGTGGGAGTGTTTTGCTGGTGACACTGTTGGGGATTTATTCAAAATTGAAGGCACACTGAACCAGCATGGCTACCACAGCATCCTGCAGCGACATGCCATCCCATCCGGTTTGTGTTTAGTTGGACGATCATTTATTTTTCAACAGGACAATGACCCCAAACACACCTCCAGGCTGTGTAAGGGCTATTTGACCAAGAAGGAGAGTGATGGAGTGCTGCGGCAGATGACCTGGCCTCCACAGTCACCGGACCTGAACCCAATCGAGATGGTTTGGGGTGAGCTGGACCGCAGAGTGAAGGCAAAGGGGCCAACAAGTGCTAAACACCTCTGGGAACTCCTTCAAGACTGTTGGAAAACCATTTCAGGTGACTACCTCTTGAAGCTCATGGAGAGAATGCCAAGAGTGTGCAAAGCAGTAATCAGAGCAAAGGGTGGCTATTTTGAAGAAACTAGAATATAAAACATGTTTTCAGTTATTTCACCTTTTTTTGTTAAGTACATAACTCCACATGTGTTCATTCATAGTTTTGATGCCTTCAGTGAGAATCTACAATGTAAATAGTCATGAAAATAAAGAAAACGCATTGAATGAGAAGGTGTGTCCAAACTTTTGGCCTGTACTGTATATTTTATATTCAGATGCAAATAAATAAACAGAAGTGCATCAGGAGCAGGAGATGAGCATAAGTGTTTATATTTAGTGTTGCAAAAAACAAAATGTTTTCAGTCAATTGTACTTCCGGCATTTTGATGATAACACAGACAGATGTCACAATAAATGATTCACTTTTATGTTCATCTTCTGTTATTTATGCATTTCCGTTTATGCATGTCACTCAACCACAAATAAAAAAAATACCTTGGAATATTGTTTTTAATTTTAACTTCCAGATTTTTTTTGACAATTTCTTTTTCCTTTCAGCACAGGAATTTTACTTCACTAGTCCCTCCTCTTTCTCTTTCGTATACCTGAACCACTTTTCATATGGAAATTTTCACCTTTCTCAAATGTCAGCACAGATAAGACCGTTACCAGCTCTCATTCCCACGCTGTTTGACAAGTCGTTTCAGTACAAACACCAGACAGTCTGACGGTGTTAAAGGTTTGATGACATCAGTATTTCAGACAGTGATTTAGTCCTATCAGTGTTTTGCTGTTTCCAAGGTCAAGAATGAACTGCGAACCTCAGCTTTTTTTCTTTTAACTCTAACTGCTGCTGGAGCTGGTGGTGACATCGTCTCTACTACACCACTGATGTTTAGGGCAATATGTTAAATCAGACACATCCATTACGTTTTTAGAACATCCTGTTGTTTTTAGAGCCCCCAAACAACAACAACAACAAAACAGATGGACCCTCAGCCTGTATAGGCAGCACTGGGAAATTTGGTGGAGCAGTATTTATGCACAAGCTGCCCAGGGTTTAAACATTAGAGTGTCTCCATAAGTCTGGAAAAAAACAAAAAACTTCGCCTCTAGTCTTGAGGTAGTCTGAACCCTAACTGAAACATTACTATTTAAAACTGAACCAAAAGTGAACTGAAAGTGAAACTCCTCAAGGCCAGACTCTGATGTGGAGGCTTCTTTTGGCGAAGTACATGTTTTTGGGAAGTACGGAGCATGTGACTGGATAAATTAAACTTGGATTATACTGTACAAGTTGGGGTAAAAGGAAGTTTTGATGTAGTTTAGCTGTTGTTAAAGGTGGTCCCCAGTGAATCAATGAATCAACATGTTTGCCATTTTCCGTAGAGACATGATAGAAAAACATTATCTTCACAAATTCAAGGTAACATGGCATGACTAATAGAACTTCTCCACCAAAGTTAGTGCATGTACGCAGGTTTTTTAAACACGGGTAAACCCGTTAAGGCTTTAGAGTCATTTCCCATTGCCAGTAGATCAGCACTGTGTGCACAGCTCTGCAGGAGATGAGTACGTGTGTGTGTGTGTGTTTTTCTGGTCTGTCATATTCAACGTCACGGACAGGCCAGGTTAGTAAAAAGTAGAAAGGGGCATAGAGGCCAGTAAATGGACTGCACTTACTACTATATGTCACATTCACCCACTCACACACACGTTCACACACTGGTGGCCGAGCATGCCATACATGTTGCCACCTGCAACTGAGTAACCATTCACAAACACTCACACACCGATGGAACAGCCACCGAGAGCAATCTGGGGTTCAGTATCTCCCCAAAGATGCTTCGACATGCAGGCTGGAGGAGCCTGGGAGCTATCCGCCGATCTTCTGATAAGTGGACGACCCGTTCTACCTCTGAGACACAGCCTTCCCTGAAAATTTTACGAAATGAAAATGCGAAAAGAATTTTTTTATGACAGTTACTTCTTTTTTTCTATAACTCTAACCTACTGATTCTCTCTCACTCTCAGTCAGACAAATTTGGATCGATGTTTGGGTGCTGCTTTGGGTGCTAAAATTAGCGCGTGCATCTGGGTGTTGTATTGTCATCAATGCCAATAAAACCCAAATACCTGTGACTATGAATGCCAATTAAAAGGCCTGATGTTAGTGGGGTTTTTTGTGCTGTGGGAAAGGAGCTGAACTTATGTACAACTAGTCATTTTGTGGGTGAAGTGTTCCTTTAATACATTAATAATTATACTTAAATGATACACTTTGCTCTGAAATGGGCCCCTCGCACTGTAACTTTTGATGCTTTAAATATATTTTGATGCTTACTCAGTACTTTCGTACTCAAATTGAATGCATGACTCATAATATTTCTGTGGTATTGCTTCTTTGACTTAAGTAAATGATCTCGGTACTTATTCCACATGTGAGATAACTCCACTGAGACAGTTTGCATACTGGTCAGCTCCCAGTATATGAACACACATAATCCTAACATGCATGCTGAGTATATCTTCACCCCACCCACCACATGTTTGAGGTCTCCGAAGCACCGCCTCTGTCACTGATCCCTCCGAGTAAGGCATTAGGAAAGATGAATGAACCTCCCCTTCTGAATGTGGTGCTGCTGAAAAACTCTGAGCCTCAGTGAGTCACAGCTGCCTGGAAACGGTTGCATTAAAAACCAGCCTCCACCCCGAGAAGACGTCCACAGAGGAGCCGCCAGCTTGCTGCGCAGAAACAACGCGCAACAGTCTCATTTTACGCGTCCAAAAAATCCAGGCATTGTGCAAGAAGCGTTGCGTAAGTGAAACTGATATCAGATAAAAACTCTCGGAGCCAGACTTGACTCGAGGAGAAAAAGAAAGAGAAAGAAGAGGTTTCGGCTCTTGTGGAGTTTTGGAAGAAACAAAATGTCTAAACCTAATTACTCCGGCACGTTTGATCTGGTGGAGCAGGAGAATATGGAATCGTATCTCAAAGCTTTAGGTAAGACTCTCTTTGTTGCATTGGTGCAGCTTTTACTCATCTGTAACTCTTGAACACAAATCAGTTGTATTTATTAAACCCCTCCTCCATTACATGTACATTCACTTGTGTTGCTCTTTTATTTAAAAACTTGTATTACTTTGTTGCTGTGAGATAATCTTTTAATCTCCAATCATTGATTTTATAATGTGGATCATCTTCCTTTGCAGCTGCACATTAGTGAAATGAAATCACCACCTTGTCCTTTCTATGACCCCACACTAACATACACTCACACACACTCACACACTCTCAGAGGGGAGTATCCGCTCTGTCTGCACTGTGTGACAAGACAAAGCTCCCTTATTAACAAAGCAACCTTGAAGTATAGCTCATGCTGTATTAATCTTATCTCCCCTCTCAGATATTAATCTTGCCCTGAGGAAGATTGTGTGTCTGTTGAGGCCCACCAAAGAGATCACTCATGACCCGGCCACAGGAGCCATGAAGATCCGCACCATCACCACCTTCAAGAACTTCAACATGGATTTCACCATCGGAAAAGAGTTCACTGAAGACCTGGGCCCGGTGGACGGTCGCACCTGTCAGGTGTGTGTTGGTATATGTTTTTCTGAGCATGCATCCTGTCTGGACACACGTACAGGCTCGATGATACTGAATATACAGTATCATAACTTGTTACACAAGTTTGCTTTGTGTGTTTTAATTTGGAATGTATGCGGAAAGTTGACCCACCTACTGCTGTGTTTTTGTGCTGTAACCATCCCCTGCTGCTTCAACCACAGCTTGAACCTACAATGAGGGATGTGTGTGAGAAAACAGTGGGGAAAAAAAACTCCTCAGTTTGCAAATCCAGTAAGGAAACTGGTGCATGAATCTGAATTAGCAGCATTATCTTACAGTGGCCAAAACAAATGAGCACATGGAAGCAATAGAAAAGAGTTTTGAACTAATGGCAACCTGTTGGCAACGCACAAAGACTCGTGTGAGCTGCTTTACATACTAATCGCACACACTAACACGTCATCGCTGTGCTCTTGCAGACTACAGTGAGCTGGGAAGGAGACAAACTGGTGTGTGTACAGCGAGGTGAGAAAGAAGGACGAGGCTGGACACACTGGCTGGAGGGTGACAAGCTGCATTTGGTAAGGATGTATGGATGGATGGAGTGAAAGGAAGTGGCCAAAGCTGAGGGAGAAAGGGAGGGAGGATACGGAAGAAGGAAAGTCAAACACACTCAAGGGAAAAGCTGCTAAAATTGATATGCAAAATGAGGGATAACATGCAAACCAGATTAGGCTGTTGCACCACACTGTCTGTGTGAAGAAGTCCTTTTATCAAAAGTTTTGTGAAGCTCTGTGCTGCCTGAAGGGGTAAAGGTATACTTCTATGAAGGAAGGCAAACACAAAAGAGACAGAAGACTTGAATGCCACAATAACAGATCACCATGGGCAGATTATGAGACAATAGGTCCCTGGGCACAGATATGCAAAAGGCCCCACCACCTCTCCTTCACAGAAGCAAGACACACAGACGCCTCTTTGTTGTCGGTGTTTGAGTCTCTCTTTTATATGTATGTATGTGTGTGTATATATATATATGTGTGTGTATGTGTGTATNTGTGTCTCTTTGTAGTCATCATGCATCTTTTTGTGTCTCTTTGTGACTGTTTTGTGTCTCTTTGAAGTAATTCTGTTGTCTTTGTGGTTGTTTTGCCTGTTTTTTGTTTTTTTGTCTCTTTGCAGTTCCTTTGCATCTATGCAGTTATTTTGTGCCTCTATGTGGTTGTTTTGCCTGTTTTAGTAGTTATTTTTCTGTCTTCTTTGCAGTTCCTGTGCAACTGTGTGGTCATATTGTGCCTCTTTGTGGTTGTTTTGCCTGTTTAAGTAGTTATTTTCTGCATCTTTGCAGTTCCTTGCATCTCTTTGTAGTTATTTTGTGCATCTTTGTAATTGTTTTGCCTGTTTTTGTAGTTATTTTCCGTCTCTTTGCAATTCCTTTGCACCGACGTAATTGTTTAGTGTCTCTTTGTGGTTGTTTTATCTGTTTTCATAGTTATTTTCTTTCTCTTTGCAGTTCCTTGCATCACTTTGTAGTTATTTTGTGCGTCTTTGGGGTTGTTTTGCCTGCTTTTACAGTTATTTTTGGTCTCCTCGCAGTTCCTTGCATCTCTTTGTAAGTATTTTGTGTCTCTTTAGGCTTGTTCTGCCTATTTCTGTAATTATTTTCTGTCTCTTTGCAGTTCCTTTGCATCTGTGTAGTTATTTTGTGCATCTTTGGGGTTGTTTTGCCTGTTTAAGTAGTCATTTTTATTTCTCTTTGTTGCTGTTTTGCCTGCTTTTGTAGTTAATTTCTGTCTCTTTGCATTTCCTTTGCATCTATGTAGTTATTTTGTTTCTCCTTGTGGTTGTTTTGCCTGTTTTTGTTGTTATTGTGCGCCTCTTGTTGTTCCTTTGCATCTCTTTGTGGTCACTTTGAGTTTTTCTCTGGTCGGTATGTGTTAATTTGAGCTACATTTTGCAGGTAAAGGCCAGAGGGGCCCCTCAGCCTGTGCCAGTAATCCATCAATGCTCAGCACTGAGGGAGAGCACTGGTTTTTCTAATTTTGGTTGTAAAAGAGTTTAAGCTTGTCGATAATCTGTCAGCGCTTATTAAGATTTAAAACAAGCAGCATTGTTCTGCTAATTAGCTCTCGCAGGATTTCTCATACTTCGGTTGCAGTTGGGACAAAGCAGTGCGTTGTTGACGTCCAAATTCAGGAGAGAATTGAGAAAGAAATGCCAGCGAGGATCAGGCTCTAAAATGGTGGATTTTAAAGGTTACACAAAGCAGGAGAAGGGAGCAGCGAGAGGATAATGAAGAGTGAGTGAACGAGGGGGAGCTGGAGGAGGAAGGGGGAGCGGGGTGAAAGGAGGAGCTGGTGAAAGAGTGGGAGGCGAGGTCAAAGGATGTTGGGAGGGGGTGGGGATGGAAATGTATTTTGGATCCAGTCCCAGGTTTGTGTATCACTCATTTAACTCTGCTTTGATGTGCCAAACTGTCGTATTGATTCTCACATTTCATTTACACCTCCCCTCCTTCTCTTCCTCTCTGCAGGAGATGAGAGTTCAAGGCATCGTGGCCAAGCAAGTCTTCAAGAAGGCTAATTGAAGCAACTGAAAATGTCTTTAAGTGAATTATTCTTAGTAGAATATAGTTAAGGACTTGGTTCAAGATTTGATTAATGTTTATAGTTTCTTTTAATTATAATCAACATTATTTTGAAATACTGCAATAAGACTAAGTATCTGTAAAAAAAAAAACTACTGGACATGTATATCTTAATTGTTCCTGTGTGGTGGTACTAACTGAGAAGAGAACAGAATGACTTGTGTAAACATTCCCTACATACTTCTTCATATTGCACCATCTATCTTGACCATGCTTATAAACAAACATTCCACCGTCGGACATCACTGCTGCATCTTTAATTCATCACATCATTATCCAACTTGTGTGTGTGTGTGTGTGTGTGTGTGTGTGTGTGTGTCAGCATATTTTAAAAGACAGTACACAGTTTTATAAATACTGAAAATCATTGCTCATTACAATGTACTTTTACAAGAAGACATTTCTTGGTTTAAACCAGTTCTCATGCACAATTCTCAACATGAGTCAGTGGGGTTGGAAAAAAATAAGTTAAATTAGTTTTCCTTTAAATTATAATTACAAAAGACATCATTTACATTAAAGAATAAGCGCTAGGAAATCTCTCATATTTTTCTTAATATCAGCAAATCCCATGAAAAGACCAACAATGGGTTCATCCGTCTCTCAAATTCTGACCTCCCTATGCAGTCCTACCCTTTCCCCACCGTAATAAGAGGTGATGTGGAGGGTTTTGAAAAGCAATTATCTCGTTTCTGTTTTAGAAAATGTGTAGGAAAAGTTTATTTTATCTATTACTTATAAGTGTCTCTTTCAAACTCTGTGCCAACTATTTTAAAACAATGCTTGAGTGCTGCTTGGTAAGTATTTTGTGGTGGCGTGTCATTGTATCGTGCTGGAAAAGGGGTGAAAATGAGCTTTCCCACCTGGGTGTCATATGTCTATGACTGCAGATCAAAGCCAATTCGAGCTAGAGCTGATAATTACCTGTGACAACTGCAGAGTCATTTGTCCTGGGAGCAATTACCAAGTTTAACCTTGAGCATTAAATACAAAGTGACATATTCTCAGGCAGGTTTTTGTGAAGTAGGACAGGGAGCCCATTTGTTCTTATAAATGTGTACATTAAAAAAGCCACAGATGTACTATATTGTAGTCTTCACAGATGTTTCTTAAACAGGAGTAAACAGAGTATTTGTTGGGTGCTACTTTCTGCTGTGGATTAATCAACATACAGCAGCAGCAGGACAAGCTTCATTGCCTATGCTCTTGGTGATGACATCAATGGAGCACCATTACACAAATAATAAGCTACATCTGGCTTTGAATACACATTTGTTGGAAGGACACATTCATTTTTGGTTTTGGCCTTTTCATGGGATTTGATTGAAATAAAAAAAATACAGAAACATCTTATTCTTTCATAGACACCACTAAGCTGTAGCTAAAAACCACGGACAGCACTGGTTTCACTCGTGAAGCTCCGAAGACTAATTCACATCAAAGGGAAAGCAAGTACAGAGCTGCACCAGTGTTTCATTGTAAGCACATATCAGAAATACCACTTGTGCTGAACTTCTCATTAAAGTCCTGCAGGGGGCAGCAAACTGCCAGCCACCTTTGACTCTTAAAAAAAGAAATATAAAAAAAGAAACCCTACTCTCTTGTTTTTTGGTATAAATAGGTCCAGTTAAATGTCTAAAAAGTAGTCAAGGCATCTCCAAGCTGCAGAGGGACAGCTCCATCAGTGTCCCGTTACAAAAAACATTTACTTGATTATGGCACCCACTCGTCCTCCTGTGGCTCTGAGTGGGTCCTGTGGAAGTTGGTGCAATATCCAGCACTTCCATTGGTGTGGCTGGATTCGATGAAAGAAACTGAAACGTTCAGTGGAGTTATAGGATGGTTGCTGTCCACGCTGCCCACACTGTCTTGTGTGACACAACTGACCACATGATCATCTGAGGAAGGAAAAAAAAAAATCAGTGTTCAGTGTGACCATCCTCGAGAGTAATGTGACATTAAACAGGCTGAGCACTTTATTTGATTTATGACTATCTTAAAGAGGGTGGAAGCATTTATGAGCACTAAAATTAATGTAGATTCATGCTGGAGAGGAGAATGTATTTTTCACTTTAATGCACATAAGTGACAGTTCAAAGGAAAAACCAACTAAGTGTCTTTGAAACTCTGCTGGTGGGAAGAACATCAGTTTACCAAAATATGTCCCCCTATTTGGTGTTTGATGATGCTTTATAGCAGGGGTCAGCAGCAACCTTTACTATCAAAAGAGCCATTTTTTGGCATAAAAAAAAATCTGTCCAGAGCTGTGAAACATATTTGAGCCTTAAGATGAAGGTTATAGCCTATTAAGTCTAGAATAGTCCACAAGGTGGTGACTCTGCAGTGGGCTATTTCTGACTATTTGGTACCTTAAAGTAAACAAATCTGTCCATGTACGATTAAACTCTATTTTCCTTTGAGACTTTTACTTTTTGGGATTTGGAATCCATACCTCATCTGGACAGGGAGACTCAAAATGAGCCTATGCTACTGAGGTTTGGCCAAATTGATAGGAAAAGACACCGTGCCAGAGACATATGATGCACATTTAGGTTGATGAATGTTGAGTTTTTTTTAGTCGGTGTATGGGCTACACATTTTAACAGCTGGAGAATGAAAAAAATCACTTTGGGTGCGATAAACACTGATAAATGGAAATTAAAAAAATACATTCATTTACATATAATTTTTGTCAAGGCCACAGGGAGCCACTGAAGAGGGCTACATGTGGCTCTGGGGCCACAGGTTGGTTTAGAGTGCTGTCTTACACAGCTGTTGAGATCTGGTGTCTCATTTATAAACATTGGGTACGCACAAAACAAGGCCTGGAAGAGGCGTACACCACTTCCCATGCAAAAGTTGTGATCTATAAAAACAAACTTGATTGTAGAAACTTTGACCCATGCTTAGAAACATTTTGGAGACAGGAAATTGGCAACACAGATGGTGAGGTGAAAGCCTGATTGTAGAAATTGTCTAATATTTTTTGGTGCATGTCATTTTAGGCTTTTGTCTGTACATACATTTTTGATATGAATCCTCATACTGTGTATAAATGAGACCCCTGGTGAGTGTGAGGGCCACAGTGCATGATTCCCATAATTTTCATACTTGGTGAAGCCTTTGCATTCATTAAGGTTATCCATTCTTTAATTCAGGTTTTTCCTCTGATATGTCACCTATCTGTGCATCCTCCATCTTCATCCTTTGCAAAATCAATGCAGAATTGTTACAATGACAACAGAAGACACTGTACACATCTATTTATGTGTACAGTGGCGACAGGTCACTTAAGGTAGAGGGGACAAAGCTCATTCATTCATTTATATGGATCCCCATTAGTCACGACCAAGGTAGCAACTACTCTTCCTGGGGTCCATGCAAGCAAACATTACATCATAGAGTAAAACAAATATATAATTAAAAATTAAAGGCAAAAGGAACAAAATACAACCAAAAAGCAAGAAAACTACAAAACAAACAAAAAAACAAACAGACAAAACTAAGAGACTGACGACAAAATAGTCAGAAATTGTCAGAAAATAATAATAGTATAAATTATAATTATAAGCTCTGCCTGCTGGGAGCAAAAAAACGTGTGGTTGCAGTGCTACTGAAAAAAATAGACATTGATATAATTCTGGATTGATGCATGACATAAAACACACCTAATTACTGCTGTTATTTATCCTTGTTCAACAATTTAAGGTCAGTGGCTGGAAATAATAGTTTGACAGTTGTGTTGTACATCAGACTGTCGCTCACAATTAAGCTTATAAGTCACGTGACTGATTGCTGTGTCATTTGTTACGATAGTGAGTGCGGTCACCATGAACACACATTTAAGAGTCTGTCCTATAAGGTAAACTTGAGATTAAGCACCTCGGAGCCGATCAGCAACAGGATATTGTTATAAAAGATAATCAAATTTTACGTGGAGTGGTCCTCTGAGACTAAAATGGCGACCTGCGAAATTGTCAGAGAGGACGCTTTTTCTTTTAATTTCCGTGCGAGTTATTCGGAGGTGTTCCTTGCTGGTCAAGAACATGAGGAAACTTTAAGGATCTCAATCTTTCACGACAACATGGTGGAACAGGGCTTAATCGGCAGGAAGAGCTGACCTAGGGAACAACTGACAGGAACAGGTAACAGGTGAGTGCTCAGTGGGGAAATGTAAAATAATGCATTATATCATATTCTGGTTTTGCATCTCTTCAAAGTATAATGCCCTATTATTTCTCCACCTTAAACTTCCTTTGTAACCAGTGTTGGGGAGTGACTAGTTACATGTAGGCCTAATGAAATTTCAAAGTAAAATAATTGTAATCAATCAGTTACAGTTACTAAGGAAAAAAAAATGTAATTAAATTAAAATTACTAATCAAAATGTTGGTGATTTCCAAATATATCACTTTACGTAAAAAAGTTTTTATGTAGAAAAATAACCTATTTCTGGCCTTTTTAAAGTGTTATTGCCCAGTTTAACCTGCTCAGATGCCCCCTCCATCCCAGTGGACATAATGGACCAACTACTGGGTGGAAGAGGGTTATAAAATCCTCCAACCTGCACTGATGCAGTCTTACTGAGCATGCGCAATGCTGTGCTGTGTTCGTCATTGAAGAAGCTCCATACAAATAAAGCTCTATGTGACTGTCCTCAGAAATGTAAACTGTTCAAACTAAGACAGACATTAAGGATAAAACTACACCTCTCCAGTCTCTATAAAATAGTAGTTGTGTTTGTTTTATAGTAAAGTGTAACAGGAGCAAAAACAGCTTTTAAACATCAGTGAAAAAGGAAATGTTTATTCCCTTTAATGTATTCTTTATTCATTTAGTTACTCATTTATCAATTTTTATTTATTCTATTGGCAAAAGGATATAGAATATACACTATGAAAATTCAGGTAAACAGCAGCATGAATGAAATAAAAGTCATACATATACATATAAAGAACATAAAATAGGAGTAACTGAACTTTTCTCCATGGTTACCAAATATAACAGCTCCTTTACACCTCACACCTTGATGTAGGGTGTTTCATTCAGCTGTGAAGGTGACTACAAACGGACCCTAACCCCAAAACTCTGAGATGGAGTGGGACTGGGTAGGATCCGGTTTGGGAAAGGCCCAACTTTTCTAGGATGTCTAAATCTATGTTACTGTCATCTGACTCCACCCAAGTGCACAGGCTTTAATGATGGGACGTCTGTAAACCAATCAGAGTGTTTTACTTAATCTAAAGTGGACTGCAATAGAGCCACGCCCCCTTTTCCAACAAGCATGGCCAACAGTAAGGCTCCCTTCTGTCTATTATCATATTGTTAAAGTACATGATTTGTGTTTTAACTGTGTTTGATTTATAAATAAGATGTTATATTACTTATACATGTCAAAAATGAAAGATTTATAGCTTTTACTCAGGTTTTTTAAAAAAAAAAAAAAATCCTTCCAGTGGAATATGTGGGGGATGTGAGCGTCGACAGGGAAATACTTTCGTTGAAGTTTTCCAATGATTAAATCAGCTTATAGTGCGTCCTATTGATTATGTACAGTATGAATCTCAGGAGGTCTTCAACATACTGTTTTCTGGAGATACCTCCGAAATAAAGAATATTTTGACTCATGCTGATGGACACAATGCAATATATATATATGTAGGCTACAATGTGTTTTAAAGCATCACTTTATTTGTTAATATGAGTTAATCATTCATTAGAAATAAATAATGTCAATTTGTTTTGTGGAAAAAAGGTCTGTTTAGACCATTTATTGTTGTTTTTCCTATTAAGTATTTTGAGATTCTTCATCCAATGGAACGCACAAAAAAACCCTGCATAATTAAGTGTCCTAATAAATAATTATTGTTTCTTTTTCTGCAAATAATTTATGAGTGCATTTAAAGTAGAAAACCACCATAACAATATTTTTGTTTTGTGCATTTGGAACATAATTGGGTTATCAACGAGTTAAAACATTTGTTAGAAAAGTAATTCAAAAGTGCAATAAATACGATTACTTTGATGAAGTAATCTAATTAAAATAGTTGCATTACTTTTTTACTACATTTCAAAACTAACTACCCAACACTGCATGTGTCACATTTACCCAGGAACACTCGGGGGTGCAGATGTGGTTTAGGAGTAAAGTTACTGACTGTAAACCACAATGTTCTTGTCAGACCCCATCTCTGTCATTTCCTGTCATTCCTCTGCAGTCACAGTCTCTTACAAAGGCCAACAGTAAACACACACCCACACACAAACATATTTAAAGCTGCATGCATCAGGGATTTCTCACCTGAGTTGAATAGTCGTAACTTGCAGCCGTCCTCGGGGCAGCTTTCTTGGCAGTGACTGGACAGGTCTGTGAATGGTAAAGGCAGCTCCAGCTGAGTGAACGGTGCTGGAACCATGTGATCCAGAGAGACAGGAACACTGGAGCGAGCTGTCACACAGGAAGGAGAGCACAATAGGGTCAAACATGAGATTATTCAAGGATTATCTCCTATAATAATCATGATTTGTAATTATCTTATTCGGAACAAAGTACTGATAACTTGTAAGACAGAATTATAATGATTGACCCTTAGGTGGCACTATAAACTCTCAGAATCCAATATTCTGCTCTGTGGCATCAATTTTCATAGAGGTGTGAAACGTGATACTGATAAGTATCGGAACAACTTGGTTTCTAGGAAAAGTGCTTCATATGTATCCATTCATACATTAATAAATGTGAAAAAGTCAATTGTACCACAGCTCGGTGTGACTCAATTGCGAAGTGATACTCCTCCTCACATTTATCTTTTGAGTATGAAACACTCACCTCATGTAGACTTGAAAGGCGGTTGTAAAAACTTGGCAGTTTCCTTTTTCACTGCGAAAAGGAAACTGTAGAAAAGAGTCAGATTTGACTCACAGCAGATGCAATAGATTCCAATGAAGTCAAGTTTTTGGGTGGAAAAAGTTAACAACCTTCAATATAAACATGTCAGGCTGCACACTTCACTTTCTCTGATGTTCATAGACATTCTCAGTTTCTGAAAAACAGTTGTAATATGGCTAAATACACTTAATATACTTTTTCTGTCAGTATTGGAATCTATTGAAGCCACCATGAATCGAAGCTGACAGCCACGGCTTTCTTTGTGACAACCTTTCAAACCTGCTGTTTTCTGCACAGTTTCACTGCTTTTATCGTTGAACTGTTTCCATGGTGTTTGTTATTTCGCTTAGTACCTTATGTGTCATAATAGCTGTCTTTTTTCTCTACGTAGTGCAGGCTCTGTATATGTCTTCATGTTTCTAACTGCTTTTATGACTGATTATATTTTCAGTGCTTTTATTCTTTATGTCTGTGCCTTTTAACTTTTGCCTGCTCGGGGACTACAGATGAAAATGAGCTTTGGCCCCATTTCCAGTAAGCAGCTTGGTAGTGTTCAGTATGCTTTGTCATAGTTTCAGAAATGTTATTGACATGCTCTGTCCCCGTCGGAGAATGAAAGCCAGACAGAACCTACGTGGAGTGGAGCCACAACTCCAGACCCTCACGGACCCCAAAGTCCTTGCATTCATTGTGTCAGTGTGTTCATGGTAATTCCCTGCATCATTATCTGTCTTGTCCAGCAGTCTTGTATAGGAGCCCTGTGTCAGACTTTACATGCTGCCTGCTCCTAAATACATTTGCATCTTACCAAAAGAGGGACCCATAGCTAGCTTTGCACTGGCGCTGCCTAATGAGTTAATCCAGCCGCAAGAAGAGTCAAGGATAAGCGTTTGTTTAAGGTCTCCCTCCAGGCTACGCAGTTATTATATTGCTAAAAAAATATAAATTCAAAAAATTGCTATGCTACGAAAGGCAACCATGCACAGCTATCCAAAATAATTATTAGCAAATGTAATCATAATCATACATAAACTTCAAAAATTGCCATTTTTATTATTACTACTGATTCTAGCATTACGGAGTATTGTAGCTCTGCTTGTGGTTTGTGCAAATGGCTTTGTCATACCCCAGCAGAAGCTATTGCTCGACTGCTGCGGGTCGGTACAATCAATGTCAGACATTGTACTGTCTCTTTATTTCATTACATTGAAATGTATTAAAAAGTAGGAAACCAATGTCACATGGGTGTTATGTAAGCTACATCACTGTCAGTTGTTATAGTTTTTGTACAGTGGAAGTATGTTATTAAAATTGTCATGAAAAAAGTCATAAATAAGTCATAGACAAAAAGTCAGTGAGTGCACTTCTCTGTGCAGCCCTCAATTATGTGCTTGCTTCCATCATAACTTTGGGAAACCCTGATCTAAATTTTTTGTTTCAAAATGCTCTAAAATGGTCTGTTTAGCTGTTAAGTTTATGAAAGTTTCTCCTTTGGGAAATTCCCCCCAGACCCACCTGAACGGTTAGGCCACAAACATTAGATCACTAGTCAAAGGTGTTGATTGATTACAGCGCTGCCTTTTAGCATGCTTTAAGACAAAAAATATAAATGTGAAAATACTAAAAATAAGTATTTTCTGTCTGTTTTCCACAAAAACCAGGTACCTAGCAAAATTTTCTTGAAATTACATCCACTACTTCTTCTTCCATTGAGAACATTTTTTTGCAAATATGTTCTATTTCACTAGTTAACTACTGGACCATGATTTCTCCTACTTCCCCTGAAAAGCCCACTGTCAGTGGTTTTCACATCACAATGAGTATGCAGCATAGTGGACATAGCTATGAAGCCCAACCTTCTCTCGGTTAATTGTTATTTTACCTGTAAATTCCAGTATTGGCACACTGCTTCACTGGAAATACAGTGAAATGTCAATGAAATACAACACGTCAGCCAAAACAATCGGTTATGGGACTGTACCACATGCGTAGGACCTGTTTCTCAGTATGAGTTATCTGCCTGTGAAATGTGCGTCACTTTAAACCAAATAACTGTGTCAGGCAGAATATGTACAGGATGTGGTTCACCCATTCAGTTTACAATGCTCGCCGAGCTTGTTCAGCATCACGTTACATAGCTCCTTATTTAACCTTCCTGTGTTAAACGGCCTCGTAAATATTCTGCTTTTGTTATACTTCTTTTACATAAAGTAATCCTGACCGCACTTCTAAGAAAATCAGGGGTGTATATTTCATTTGACCTTAGCTGAAACGGTGTGTTTGAAAGAGATAGGCAGTGACCTTCAACTCTGCGACTTCAAAGCAAACTGTGTCTCACAGTTGTGGCTGACAACATGCACACTTACTGCAAGTGAGTGGGCATGCCTGCACGCCGCTTTGTCGCCTCTTCGGGAAGACTTTTTTTTTTCAAAGAATGAGGACAAAAGTGTGTGAAAAACAGTGATGAAACACACCTACACATGTGACGCATTGTACACACCTGCTCTGTATGACTTGCGTTTTGCCCTCCAGCAGATGAGACCAAGCAGGATGAGTGCAGTCAACACCAGTCCTGACCACAGGCCTGCAGGTAATATCCAGGGACAATCTGATAAACAAAAAGAGAGGGGATTTTAGAGGGACCTGAACAACATTTTAAACAGGGTTTTCTCCTGATTACACAATAACTTATGGGATATAACGTGGGAGTGAGTGATTACTGAACACTCCTCTTAATTTCTCATTAATAATGTTGTAAGGTAATGAATAAAATGGCTTTCTGAAGAAAAACTATGACTTTTGTGAATGAATCATCTTAATTTCATTTATATTTCACTCCATTTTTGGTAAATTATGGTCACACAAGAACGATGCGAAGTCATACTCTAGTTTAACATGTACGCACTACACGTGTTTAGGGCAAAACTTTAAACATATAGATATCACAATGAAACTTCCCCAGTTGATTATTAACATTAAGGCAACATGTTTTCTGAAACTGTATGTTTAAATATGCAAACGAACCATTATTTACTTTAATATGTATTCAATTGCATGTATTGCCAGAACAGAAATCTGAACGTTGGATAAAGCCAGGTTCAGATGTTTTGTTTATTTTGTTAACATTTTAGAGTCAAATGTTTCAACAGAGGGATTTTGGATGTCTCATTATCCAATTTTGCAGTGTTTTAGGAATAAACTGTCCTATAAATCAGGCTATGAGTGATATATGAACAAACACTTCAGTAAAAAAGAGATTTCTGCATATGAAATGAAACATTTTGAGAAAATGGCCTTGAAAGATATGTATAGTAAAATTACAAACACTTTTATACAAAAAACACTACATGTGAATAAGGTAAAGCGTTCACCTACTAAATATCATTATGAAACTTCCCCAGCTGATTACTTACATTAAGACTATTTTTTTTTTGTATAACACGTTTTCTGAATTTTTACAATTAAATATGCAAAGGAGGCATTATCAAAGTAAATATGTGCTTTTTGCATACATTCCCAGACAAGAAAATTGAACTAAAATAAACCCCTAAATGTGTATTTTGGATGTTTTCTTTGTACTAATCTGAAAGAAGACAAATTATGGAAGTGAAATGGCCCAAAATCTCAAAATTTACCAGCGCATGAAAAAGCTGTTTTCACCTTGTCAATCAAAAAGCACACCCACTGACTAACTGATTGAGCTTTTGGCTTAAGTGTGCAAGTGTTTGGCTTCCCTCTGTGTTGCCAGCACCCGCAGCTCCCCGCTCATCTGTCAGCAGGTGTTGCGTCAGCCATTTTCAGCGGATGAGCAGGGAGCTGCGGGCACTGGCCACATGGAGGGAGGTTGACCATCCATTTGCACATTCTTTCTTTGTTGCAATGACACAAATCTGGTTAAAAATTGCCAAAATTTCCCGCTAAGAGCCAAAAACTCTCAGTCACAGAAGTTGCTTGGTGTGAATGTCATCTGGGTATTGTGATGATGAATACCAGACAGTAACACAGCCCAGTGGATTGTAGTTTTATAGTTGTGCTGTAGGCTATATCAACTGTCAGCATCTGTGTTCTGTTTCTCTCTGTAAAGTCCACTGAAGGTGGAGCAGGGTATCCATTAATTTTAGGCAGCTAGCAACACGGCTTCAGGGATGGCAGTGTCGGTTTGTCCACCACTTTGGTTCAGATTAAAAAAATCTCAGCATTACTGGATCAATTGCTTTGACTGTTTTTTAAAATGTCCATCATGGTAAACATACCTGCTCAGCATCAGCATGTTAGAATTGTCAGTGTGAGCATGTCAGCATGCCAACATAAAGCATTTCCACTGCATGTTACGGCACTGCTCCACTCGACTTGCTCTGTTTTGGTTTTCCATCGGCATAAGTACTTGTTTTTTGGTACCACTGCAGTGGCAGTTCCATACAAGTTGAACCAACACTAGCAGGTGAAGTTAAAATGCTGCAGATCACTGATTGGTCTGAGAGAATCATCAGTAGCGCAGCAAGGGACATCCTGCACAAACCCGCCATTTTTAAACAACCAATCTACCTTCAACTGTGGCTGCATGTTTTTTATAACCTTGACCCACATTTGAAAAATGGTAGCCTGCAAAACAACCTGCACACTCCATTTTACACTTCAATGTACATTAGTGCAGGCATTTTTCTGTTTAGTTGGATTCAGCAAGTGTTGCGTTGAAGATAATGGGCATGTTCCAAATTGCACACATTTTCTTTTTACCTTTAGTAGGTACTGCAGCTGCCCTGAAAAAGTACGTACTGTTGCATGCACACAATCGGGACATACTACTGTCTCAGAATATTACACCCTGAACTTTGACCCACTTTCTCGTATATTTGTTACCATGGAGATAAACAAAACACCAGAGATTGAGATAAACCCAGAGAGCTCTGCTGCTGTTACTTTGCAATGTATGTAGTTTTAACTTTTAAGTTATAACTACATAGATTCTAACATATATTCACAATAGTGAAATGATTATGCATTTCTCTGGCATTGTTATTTTCGTAGTTATGTCCTTTTGGTGTTGGTAATCTTTCTGATTATTTTGTTCACTTAGACAATTAATATTACTAGGGTCAGAATAGCCAGAAAAGCATGCTGCTTGCATAGTGCAAAATGTGGCCGGATGTAGTAGAACGTCCTGGTATTTTGGCATACTGCATTTCACATACTATGTATTGGGACATACTAAATATTTTTCTGGAACACTAAATAGTATGGTAGAATTGGTATTGGAACGCATAGTTTGTCTCTGCAGTTTCATGCAGCGTTGCTATGGCGATCATCAAGGCCCTGGTATCAAAAGTGAGTTGAGTTGAGCCAAGTCAGGCAGTGGAAACGAGGCACAGGTGCAGACTGTAGACTGTTGAGCTCTGCTGCTCAGCTCCCTCCTTTCCAACATCTTGACACCTTTCACATCATCACACATAGTTTTTGAATTGTCATTTGACACATTTATCCTAAAGGAATATTGATCACTGCAGCTTTAATGTTTATTCTCTATAAGAGCTCTTTACAGCCAGTTACAGTGGAATCATTCCCATCGCCTGTCAGGGACTTACTAACTGTAACAAGTGCCTTACATTACCCTCTTCCTTAGAAATGGTTTTCTAATCTGTACCACTTCTACTTCCTCTCACAACAACTCAGCCATGTGATGAACTGAGGTTCAGCAAAAGCTCACTGAGTCATGCAGGATAAGAGCATCCGCTAAATTGCACAAGATCTTTTTTTTTTTAAATAAAGCTAAAAGATTTTAAGATCTGAGTAGATGATACACATTTCAAACAACAGCCTAAAGGTAAAAATGGAGACCTACTACATTTGATTTCGCCACAGATGGCATCCGTGTCTCGTGTTCCTGGAGTTTTCAACACTCTTCCGTAGTCCTCACATCTGAAAACAACACACAGAGACAAGTAAATAAATATCCACATACTGTAGTGTATCTGCAACCATTTGAAAATGAGAAAATACAGTTGTTTTTTTTAATTTGGGCATGTTTGTCCCAGAAAAAGGGATGTCTGAAAAAAATTCAGAAAAGCTCAGGTATGACTTTCTCAGGTGTGGATTATATGTAGTCACAGACTGTGTGATGTGGATGTCTCTGCTCCATAAACTGATGATGTCAACCGAAACAAAAACAGTCATTTCTGCTTTGTTTCGATGGATGACTGATGAATGATTCACATCGCATTACATACAACATCCTCCTTCGGCTTTGATAATAATAACATTAATAACCTTACCTGGTATGTGGTCGGCAGGGTGAGGATGAATCTGATACGTTGCTGAAGGTCCCGTCTGGACAGGGAGCGCAGATTACGTCTTTTGTGCGAGTTGCTGCAGGAATAAATGAGTTTTTTCAGTTGCCAGTTTGTACTGTGTTTGGTAAGATGTGAATGAATGAATGATTACAAGAGGAGCCTACCTTGAACCTCAACCCCTTTACCCTTAGGGCAGGAGGTCAGTAGCAGGCAGTGGTCACATTCATCATCGCTACAGTAGAAACCATCCACACACTCACACACTGCGTTCGCCTTATCTGTACACTCCGTCAGATTCCTCTGGTTGTTTTCTGAAAGATTCAAAGACGGATATCGTTCATCTCAGAAGAGCAATCGATCTTACAGTCCTGCAGCCTGTTGCAAAAGCCCCCTTCATATTATTTTACCGTATTTCTGTAAAAAAAAAAAAATTGTGTGTGAAAACATTTGGTCCATCTTAACCGAGAATCTAAGAGAAGAGCATGGGCAGATTATGAGACAACAGGTCCCTGGGCGCAGACATGTAAAAGACCCACCAGTACTCCTACACAGAAGACACCCAGACTAGATGAGACATGCAGCCCCAGATGAGACAAAACAACCACAAAGACAACAAGAGATGCAAAACAAGGAGACAAAAAATAACCTTTTGTTTCTCTTTGTAGTTTTCGTGTAGTTGTCTCGTGTTATTTTGTGTCCTTGTTGTTACTTACTGAGTGTCTGTGGTCATTTTGTCTCTTTACAGTACGTTCAATTTTGTGTCTCTTTGTTTCTCTGTTGGGTAGTTTTCTGTCTCTTTGTGGCTGATTCGGTGGATGCTCTGTCTCACTTTTGCATCTCTTTGCAGCTGTTTGATTGACTCTTAAAAAAGATGCTTACACTCACATCAAACAGAAGCTTATGTCCAGAGGCTTGTGCCTAGTACGTCGGCTCAGTAATCCATCCATAGGAAAGACGTTGATGTATTTTGTACAGATTGTAAAGTCCTCTGATACAAACTTGTAATTTTAGGCTACATAAATGAAATTAACTGGACTTGACCTTACAGTAGATCACAAAGTTAATCTTTTCACAAGCAATTTCTCCTGTTATTTCCACACTATAAAACATTTAAAGCTGGTTCAACTTAAAAACCAAAGTTCCCCTGCTGCTTAAGAAATGTGACATAACAGAATTAAACTTGAATAACTACCTTTTCTCATTAGTTGTGAAAATACAGTACAAATTGTTTTAAGGCTGCCTCAGCTGCTGATTTGTACCAGAATTAGGTTTAACTTTGTTTAATGAGAAGTGTATGGGGGTTATTACTTTCAAGGTTGTTAAAATCATCTTTTATTTATAGACTCTGGCACTTCATTGGAGCTACGAGATGTTAACACTGAGTAAAGTCAATCAAAAACCCAATTCCATTTCATGTTTTTACTCCTACCCATTATTTCCGAGTGAGACCATTCCCCTCGGAGCAAAGTTAGAAGGGAGAGTGGTTGAAATTTTCCCTTAAACCCTTCAAAAGCCTCATATGTCATCACTAGTTGTCAATGCTACCATTTACGTAAACAAATGTCACTAGTGTTGAGACATTGCCAGCACTGGCTATGTCTTGTAGTTAGCTACTGCAACATCAGCATGCTAGCACTTTCTTTTCTTAGGCTTGTTATAAAGAAAAGGGCCATAATACACTGAAACAACACAAAACTAAGATAAGTCTCTTTTAACAAAGGAAATACATTTGCTACTTTCTTTTGTTGTTAGTGCAGCCATCTTTCCACTGATTTCTCATGTTGGTTTTGAGTGTGCCTCTGAAAACCCTTTGTTTGGGAGGCCATGTAGCCCTGACACTTCACAAGAATCGGTACACCCTACCCCTAAATGTGAACGTGCAAAACGAAGGGGTAAGGGCTAAGCGGTAGAGGCAAGGGGTGTATCGGGTTTCTGACATACTTGGTGTCCTTCAAAGTTTTGTATCTCAACTAATACTTGAAATAGCGTCAGACAAATTGTGAACAAAGTTTGGTCACACAGAATGAGTTATGTAACGACTGACCCCACCGGTAGGTAAGTGAGGTTTAATGGGTTAAAAGTTGAAAAGAGGAAGATGTTTAAGACACGGATTTGTGACGCTGTTCACATGAAGAAACAATAGCAAAACATATATTTGTACTCTATAAAAAGGCTGCAGGGGGGGGAAAGAGGAAGGAACTGTGTCGGTTTTACAGAAAAAGTATGTGTGTGTGTGTGTGTGTGCATATACAGTACCCGACTGTGTGTATGTGTGTGCTGACTTACTGTGACTGCAGGTCTTGCATTGATGACATTTAGACAAGTAATTTTCGGTGTCTGTGTAACCCCCATTCCCACATTTGGCACACACTGTCCTCGGCCGTGTGCTGCCACACCTCTCTTTCATGTACTGTCCTGATGAGAGTTGAGAAAACAGATATACAGAAGAATCAGACGTGATGCAAATACTGCCTGTGAGGAATGCTCCGACAGTAACAACTGTGTCATAGTGTGCTCAGTCCTGTAAAGAAGTCTGATATCCAAAGAGGAAGGAAATGATAGAAACTTTAAGGTGTTGACTGACCTGCAGCACAGCGATCACAGCATAATCCATCAGCTTCATTGGGGTACTCGTCTTTTGAGCAATTCAGATTAGCCATTTGTTGCCCATGCGATTACAAGTCCTCCAGCTTTGTGTTGATTTTGCACGAGCGTCTTTCTGTACACTCCTCCTCTGAACCTGGGTCTGCCTTTGAAATGACGGCTGTTAAACTTATCTCAGCTCAAAGAGCATCACTCAGGTACTCCCTCTCTTTTCCCTTTCTCTTTCTATGACTCTCTCGACTCTCTTTCTGCTGTCTGGACGGTCTGTGACTACAGTTATGTTTCCCCTCCTCACTCTGCCCTACCTACTTCTCATGTCTTTTCTGATCCTACACAGTGGAAAACCCCAGTGACCCTAATCTGCTGTTTTCCCCTCTGTCTCTCTTTCTCTCTCTCAGTCTCTTTCTCTGTGTCTGTCTCTCCCCATTTCCTTCCTGTCTTAGCCCTCACTGCAAAGTAAGCTATGCGTGTGTTTCCGTATCACTACAGGACCAAAGAGCTGATTTTGGCACTCTTAACTGCGCATAGCAAAGCAGCACAATGAGACATTTCCTCTCTCCGCTACACCCTTTCCTTTCAGTCCCTCTCCATTGTTTTCACTGGACCTTTGTCCCAGTGGCGCGGGGATATTGTCGAGCTAAAATGGCAGAGATTTTGTAGTGACAGTCAATCTGAAAGGCTTTGGTCTGTGTCTTTCTTCCTGTACTTGTCCATGGTCACTCCCTTGTTACTGCAAACATACAAAAAACAATCTCGAAATAGATCTATAAAATGCCTACGTTTGCAAAATATGAGTGAGGGAGAAAGGGGGGCAGCACGAAAGAGAGAGAAATGAAAAGTAAATCATGAAGAAAAGGGGAAGGAGAAATGTTGAGGTAGTTTATTTGTGAGGAGATTTGATCGGATCATGATGTTAAGATTAAGGTGAGTTCAGATTTTTGCATTTTAGTCATATAAAACTGGTAATTTCACGAGAGGGCTTGTAAGATGGATGGATGCTAATGGATTGTGATAATACTTTGCCTTTGTTTTACCGCAACTTTAAGTAATACCTTTTTCTGTCTTAACTTTGTGGTCCCTGCATTTTCTCCACTTCCTCCTCTGTTTCTTTACAATGTTTCACCCGCTTCCCTGAATTTTTCTTACCTTCCACCCCTTCCCTCAGTCTCCTGCTTCTCCTGCTCTCCCGCTCGGCCTACTCAACGCTGCTGGGGTGGGTAGAGTCTCCAGGGTATCCCACTGGATACTTGCCCCATGCCAGTCTAAACTGGAGCAGGTGTGCCCCCAAAGGTCACACCCTCTCCATCAAGCTCATCCACCTGGACCTGGAGGACAGCCATGACTGTGAAAACGACGCAGTGAAGGTCAGGGGTCATGATAAACTTCAAATGGGTGTATTTTGAGGAGTCAAGTTACTTGGCGATGTCTTATTGTGCCCTCTACGACATATTTTTTTCCAGGTCTTTTCAAATGGAAACCTAATCGCAGTTCTGTGTGGCAAAAGGGAATTTGAGGAGCTTGAGTCCTCTGTTAATCCCTTACTCCACTCCACATCGGGCGGCTGCCTCACTCTTACGTTCCACTCCGACTACTCAAACATCAAGAGGCACACTGGCTTCAGAGGCTTCTACACCGATCAAGGTGAGACATACAGTAGAGGAGAAAAACAAGTGAGATACCTAGTTGTGAGAGTCCATTGTGTTTGTTCCCATTTTATTCTCTCCTATTCCCCAGAAGAGCTCAGTTTGTACGTGCGTGTGTTTTTTAATTGTGAATACTTTTGTAACCGTATTGTTAGGAGGGTGATATTTTTAGGCAACAATTCACAATGGTTGCAGTTTATAGCTCTGAAAGCTGACTTGGGAATGGCTTACACTGTGGTGTGCTGTGTCTTTCCTTTTTTTAAAAAACAAATTCTCCTAACTTATTCCAAATAATACATGCACAAATAATACACGGAGAACAGAAAACAAGGAGGTAAAACAAAAACAACAACTACAATAATAAAAGTAATAATAATGATAATACATAATAAATAATGATAATTATATAGGATAAATAAATGAACAATTCTTATGTGATGACATACGTATCACTGAGATACCTCAACCATTGTTCCTGGTCTTTAGTGTCGCCTACATTGGAATCAATTCAAAGATAACTGTGAGTCCACAGTTGATAGAGGTGATGTATTCAATAAATGTATTCAATAAAGGCTGCAAGATTGTTTAAAAAACTGGGAAAATATATCTACATTTGTTTTTCAGGGCATACATAATTTTGTTTCTATTTCTGATATCCATTTTGATATGTAGAGGAGGGAATCTGACTTCTATATCAATGCGATTTGTGTCTTATTTAGCAGTTTGAGTCACAAGGTATAAGAATGAGGAAGGTGTTTTACTATCAGCAGGTGTTTACTCTTTATTTATTCATTTATTTATTGCCATCTGTTTTGTGTATGTATGTGTGAGCATGTGTATTTACATAGCTTGTGTCTATGTGCATAGTTTGTGTGTATGTATACACAGATTGACAAAGCAAAACACATCGGTCATGATTGGATAAGGATATAAAAATTGAATAACATATATATATTTATAAGAATTTTTTTTTCTAAGTATTTTTGTAATTATTGTATATCCTGCTGTAAGACAAATATTATTGTCAATTAATTTGATATATTGGCGGCATGGTGGTGTGGTGGTTAGCACTGTCGCCTCACAGCAAGAGGGTTCCCAGTTCGATCCCGGGTGTGGGAGCCCTTCTGTGCGGAGTTTGCATGTTCTCCCCGTGTCAGCGTGGGTTCTCGGATTAGGTTAACTGATAACTCTAAATTGTCCGTAGGTGTGAATGTGAGCGTGAGTGGTTGTCTGTCTCTATGTGTCAGCCCTGTGATAGTCTGGCGACCTGTCCAGGGTGTACCCTGCCTCTCGCCCGATGTCAGCTGGGATAGGCTCCAGCCCCCCCCCCCCCCCCCCCCCCCCGTGACCCTCAAGAGGATGATGCGGTTAGAAGATGAATGAATGACTTTGATATATTATAGTAGGTCTATGAGAGTTAATTATTGTACAGCTTTATACTGATGGGGAGCAATTATTAATTTATGGAGAAGGGGTGGAAATAAATAACTTTGTACTTCCTCCCACTTGTTTTTGGACATGTTAAGCAAATCATATGTTGTTTTCAGCTTTCATGCTTCCTTCAGTAACCTCTTTTTTTGTCTGCATAAGACTGTATTATTATTTTGTTTATTTGCTACTTACATGTTTGAAATAAACTGCTAACTAACAAACTAACAATATGTAAGTAAATAAAAACATGACAAAATTTTACATTTTCAAGTAAAAAGATGCCAAATACAGAACTCAAGCACACGCTACTGAAGTGTAATTAGCATTAAGGCTTTCAGTTTCAATTCAAAGGCACTGACAGTGACTGATGTCTCATAATAGTCCTGTCTAACAGCCTGACCTTTGGACAGAGCTGAGCTCGCTGTTTCCCCTCTGTTTCCAGTCTTTATGCTAAGCTAAGCTAACTGGCTGCTGACTTTGCTTTTACAGCAAAGACGTGTGAGTAGGATCGGTCTTCTCATCTTAAGTCTCTGCGATAGACTGTGTAAAATAATAGACATAGCTCCCCTGATGCTACCCATTGGTTTTTAAGTTCTGCATTTTGGTCAGTGCCATCTTGTTTTTTTGGAGCCAGAAGTGACCATATGTGGATGAAAGGGTGAAGATGTGGAAGAGCAAGGTGTGGATCTGACCCACAGTATGTAGTGACGCCTTGCAGACAGCCTGTCACTCAAGTGGCACTGCCTTTAAAAATGTGTAACTTTAAGCCTCAATAAAAGGTAAACTGGTGAATTATATAGAGGATGCACCTCTTCCCCATATTGGCATGAATGTTAGAATTAGCTTTAGAGTTTAGAATGCTTGTGCAGGTGGTTAGAAGAAAAGCAGCCTCAAATAAGTGAATCATCACGACCAAAACAACAGATGGCCAGAAACGCATTATGATGATTAAAATAAACAGCTAGAGTTTCTAATGAAATCGGTAATAACTGCAAAGACATAAGAGTGACATGAAGCCTTACCAGGCTCAGTTTCAGGTTTCACCTCCTACTAATCAATCCCACGCCCTGGTAGAGGAAACGTACAGTGCTGATCAGAAACGCAGAACCCACCAACAGAGTGAACAGGCACAAAATGTCCAACCATTCTTTTAAAATGTCTCATGTGTCATGCTCTGACCTTTAATTAATTTGCTCCCACAGACTTTGACGAATGTGAGCATGACGACCCTGACAACAAATGCACCCAGTTCTGCCACAACTACATTGGAGGGTACCACTGCTCCTGTCGCCATGGTTACTACCTGGACGCGGACAAACACACTTGCACGGGTACAAATAACTTCATGATTAGGATCAGTAAACCGAGAGATCAGAATGAGGAGCTGACATTAAACAGAGGAAGACAAATCAAGGAAGGTGAAACAAAAGTGAAACATGAAGTGAAAATGGGGAAATAGTGGAAGCAGAAGCAGGCAAACCTGCGGGGGAAGGAGGAGAAACACGAGAAGGAGGCTGATTGTGTAATATGTATGATTATGATTATGACAAATGAACTCTTGTCTTGAATACAGTGAGTTGTACCCAGGATCTGTCTGGGCTGAGGGAAGGGGACATATCCACTCCCTCTTGGCCTAGCTCATATGCAGAGAATGCCAACTGTCAGTACACACTGTCTGTGGAGGACACCCTGCAGCTGGAGCTACACTTCTCTCAAGATTTCGATGTGGAGCAAAGCGATGGCCAATGCATAGACGCACTGAGGGTAGGTGTTGAGTTAAAATATGTAAATACCACATTTTTATAAAGCTTAACAAAGCAGGAAACAAAGAGGAAGTTCACACAGAAGTGTTGTAACTTTGGATTCGACAAACAGAACACATCCTATTTTGATCATGTAGCACAGGGTTCCCACGGATCTTTAAAAAGTCTTAAAAGGCACTTAAGTTATTCATCTAAAAATAAGGTCTTAATTAGATCTGAAATCCCTTAAATCATTGTTTCATAAGGCTGAAAAATGCTAAGACATCGTTTATCTTTTGCATTTTTGCATTTTTCTTTTATGTATTTTAAAATCTCAACATAATTGATAACATCTATTTTTTTTCTTTTTAATTTACCAATGAGTAGCGTTAATGTCACACAGATCAAGATATTGAAAATAACACAGGGTTCTCATACATTTTCATGGACAAAATTAATAAACTTTTCCATGACCCTTTAAGGACTCATTACAAAGTTTTTATTCTTGCCCCTCTTGCCCAATGTTTTTCAGTCTTATCAGATTAAAACTCTATTCAAACACAGTTTCAGCTAGCTGGCATACAGGAAAGGAGAGATGAACCAAGGGAAGCAAAGATGAAACGTATGTGATGGATAACAAAATGATGTCACACAGACACATATTAAAGCTACCTTTACTGCATAGCTAAATAAAATGAATTTGCATTTTACGTAATTTTACATAATTTCATTATGCATAACAAAATTCAATGACTTTTCCAAGACTTTCAATGACTGACAATTCCATGACTCATCCAGACCTGGAAAATATGATTGTGAAATTCCATGACTTTTCCAGATATTCCATGACCGTGGGAACCGTGCCAACAACACTGATATTTTGTGTTTGGCTGGGATGCTCAGAGCAGAGGATCCACTGTCTGCTAGCTAGCTGTCTCTGTACCCTGAAGGACACGAGGAAGTGAAAATATAATAAATATTGGTCATTTAACCAAGATTTGACAGCAAGGCTGAAATCGGGGGTGTGATGTACTTTATGCAAAAAGTTTTTCACACTCTGCACAGTGGGAATCAAGGTAGTGGAATCCCACATGTAGAGTGACAAACACAAAATCACCAGGGAACTTTGGCAGCAACAATAAACACCAGGTATTTCCCAGTTGTGTTCTACAGTTGTCTCCTTCAAAAGACAAAAAAAGGCAGGTTTTATGTTATAAACATTTGAGCAAAAATGTAAAATACAAAACTTTTTGCTTAAGTATTCCCCCTCCATTAAGTCAGTATTTAGTAGATGCACCCTTGGCAGAAATCAAAGCTTTCAGTCTTCGTGATCTCTGTCAGCTTTGCACATCTGGACACTGCACTCTTTCTCCATTCCTCTGTATCTACATTTGACTGTTGTTTCAGAGCCTTTGCCATGTAGCTTTTGCTTTATGTTTGAGCCAAGTGGCTCACTGGAAAACAGAGAAGCATCCCCACAGTAGTATGCTATGTTCATGATGATTTACAGTCTAACATGATGTTTAGTTTGATGACCAAAAAGCTTAATTTTGATCATATCAGACAAGAGTTTGTTTCATTTTATAAAGTGGTTTTCTCTGTATTTTATATTTGGGATGAATGTTTTTGAGGCACTGTACATGCTGGTGGGCGCACATACTGTACATGTGCATGATTCACCAGATGGAACAAAGCAGAGAGGAAGTCAGGACATGAACTACAGTGTGAGATGTAACCTGTGTTGCTTTGTTTGCAGATTGAGACCCCTTCTGGGACTCTGGGGCCATTCTGTGGTAAAACGCCTCCCCCCTCTCCCGTCCTCACTTACTCACATCATGTCCAAATACACTTCACCTCTGATGGCTATGGCACCAACAAAGGTTTCACTCTCCACTTCAAGACCACAGGTACTGCAGCCTCCTCTCAATGGGAAAGAGTATTTGTTTCGATATTAGTTTGAAAATGATCACAATCGTTCTTTTCACGTGCTAATTGCAGAAAAGGTCTGTCAGGCGGTGGTGACCCCACACTCCACCCTGACTCCTCAGAAACCAGAATATTCTCCTGGCGAAACAGGGACAGTAACTTGTGAACTTGGCTATGTTGCGAATACTGTGAGTGTACAGAGAACCAGAACCTTTTAATTAATTTACATTGATGTATTTAAGCCACAATTAAGCTAATTAAGTTCTCCTTTTGCAAAGTAGCAAGGCACCCAGACGCTGATATCAGAATACACGACCACATGCCAGATTACAGGAGTTTGGACTCCCACTTACGTCTGTGAACGTGAGTCTGACGCATTTGACCTGTTTCTAATTTGACTAATCTGAATGCCTTTTTTTTCCACACTATCGTTCACAATGTTTTTTTTCCATGTGTAGCTGTGGATTGTGGCTTCCCTGATATCCCAGAAGATGGCATCCTTGAGTTGGTGGACTCAGATGACCGGCAAACTCTGTATAAAGACCAGATCCACTTTAACTGCAGTTCAAAGTACTACACACTGGAAGGAGATGGTGATTATAGGAAGCTTTTACTTATCCCTTTTTTGATTCCTTTCTAAACTAGCTTTTAAGAAAACAAAGTTTCCTGGTTTCATTGATCTTTCGTTGTCAGCTTTGGTTATTTTTGCTTTTCATAGCCTGACACCCATTAACTGGTAATTAACTGGTTAATTTTTAGGGGGGAAAAAGGCTAAATGACGTGACGTGTACAAGAGGCCTTCTCTTTAAGTCTTGTGCTCCACTGACTCAGCCAGCTTTTACACCCCATTTCAAAACACTTAACATATAGAGGTTTTGAAATTTTAATAGTTAGCCTTGGCTGCTCTGTACTGTGTACCAGTCGGGTTGGGCAGGAGCTAGCTAGTGGCCCCACTCATTCGGAGATTACTGCCATGAAAACATGGTAGCCACCCTCAGGTCTCCACCCAGGTAGCCCATGTGGTTAAGCAGCACAATTATGAGCGGCACAATTGGCATTTTCAACCATGTTCACCACTAGCTGTGCTGACACTCCTAACGGTGCTAACAGAGCAAACAGTAATAACATAGTTAAATATTCTAAAGGGGTTTTTCTGGGGCGACCTGGGGGGAAACCAGAAAGTGGGCACAATGTCCAATGTCCACGGCAATGCTGTTGGGTTGGGATGGTGTTTTATTGTTAATCGTTAAATGAATGATGGCATTAGCTAGCTCACACTGACCCAGTTGGTGCACAGTACAGGAAACTGAAGAGTAGCTAAACTGACCTATAGACAAAAATGTGTAACGGGTGACAAATGTTCTTGGAGGTTAACTGATTAAGTGATGGATATCCTTATTTGTATCATCAATATGCTTTCATCAATATTTCAGACACGTACACTTGCAGTGCCAGTGGTGAATGGGTATCAGATGGTGGTAAGAAGGAGATGCCAAAATGCATTGAAGGTACGACTTTAAATTCTTCCTTATATTTTCTCCTTTTAGCAGCTTTTGAATCATATCAATCTATTGATGACTTTTTTGTGTATTTCAGTGTGTGGGAAGCCTGAAAAACTCTCTACAAGTGTAGGCAGAATTATGGGAGGTAAGGACGCAAAGATGGGACAGATACCATGGCAGCTTTTGATCAAAGAGCCGAGCAGAGGAGGGGCATCACTGATCAATGACCGATGGGCTGTCACAGCAGCTCATGTGGTTGAAAATATACAGGACACTGCTTTGCGCCTGTATGGTGGACTGATAGATGGAAAAAATGCAGATCAGTCACCTAGTGTTGTCATGGACAGTGAGAAGATCATTATTCATCCTGGCTACATTAAGGGCGCAGAAGAACCCACCAATTTCGACAATGATATCGCTCTTATCAGATTAGCTTCCAGGGTGGATTTGGGCCCAAACCTCCTTCCCATTTGTCTGCCAGAGCCAAACAGGGGCTTAGTGGAAGATGAACAAGGCACAGTGTCAGGCTGGGGGACAATGGGTCGCAGGGCTGCGTCTTCCACATTAAAGTACGCTCAGGTTGGGGTCAAATCCCTTACAGAGTGTCAGAATACACCTTTCACACCTAAAACTAACAAACGCATGATTTTCACCAATAACATGTTCTGTGCTGGAGGAGAAGGAACGGACAGCTGCGAGAAAGACAGCGGAGGTCCGTTTGTTACGCCTATGTTGGCTGAAGGCGTAGATCGTTATTATCTCACTGGCATTGTGTCCTGGGGAGCCCCCTGTCGGGAGAAGCAGTACAAGGGTTATTATACCAAGGTGGAGAATTATGTGGACTGGATTAAAAACACAATCAATACAATAGAAACATCTTAGGCAGAGGAAGGATGAAGGAGAAAATACTTGTCTACTAACCGTAATAACGTAATACATTTCAGGACTGATTCAGATCTCTAAAATAAAACTGTTAATGAAACTATTATAATCTTGTAATCAGCATTAAGATGTGATCACATTCATACTACACTTTTATATTAAAGGAATTTGCAAATCATCTGCAGAGAATGTGTTTTTTTTTAACCAATTTAATAATATACTGTGTTTTTTTGCCATCAGATACACACAGACATGTTTATGTCAGGGCCCCCCATACACTGGGATATTTAATCATTTCATAATTGATACAGTTGTCTAATTGCCTCTGACATGAATCCAGAACAAACTACATTTAAATCTATTATGGTGTGAAGCATAGAGCACCTTTTATGGAAAGACATTTCAGCTGTTTACCACACATTGTGACTAATAGTTCCTGGAGACAGGGGAGTAAATATAGAAAGTGCAGGTGGGGCAGTTGTACTGGGGCCCATGAGTGAGGGGGCCCATAGAGAGTGGGTCCTCAAGCTATATGTCAGGCAGAAAACAGGCCCTTGTGAGTAATTTAGATAGCCACCTTTAGAAAAGGAAAAATCACATTTAAAAATTAAAGATGGTGCCATTTGCTTTATATGCCTTTGAAAAGGCAAACTCAACTCCATCATGGTTTTCTTTTTTTTTCTTTTTGTAAAATAATCAATAGCAATCTATAACAAAATATGCAATAAAATATATGCATACTCTACATAATAATCTATGAATAATGTATAGATAAACAATTCAATTAAACAAATGATTGCTTATTTCTTTGGTATTTTTGTCCTATACATACTGTACATGCAATGATGATTTCTGGGTGATAAGTATGTTGGTGTTATCCAGTGTCAAGTCTCTTTTTGATCATGTGAGGATAAGATAATAGAGTAGTTAGTTAAGGCACATAACAAGTAACTAGCATGCCTTAATGCCCAACATAATGGCGTGCACTGGGGCCCGTTGTCAATACCTTACATCACATCACAACTATTATAGTGCTAATTTCAACCATGTCTCCAGGAGACATGGTTGAAATTAGCACTATAATACTGATAAACCATTTACTGAACTATTGATATACAGTGTATCACAGTGCAGCAAATGTATGGAAACAAAATGATTTTTATTAATATAAATAAATTATTTTGTTGTCCAAATGATAAACAAAGCAATTCAACAGTAACAGCTGTCTTAATAAGATATGTGGACTAAAAAAAGTAGAAGAGCTGTACGTGAAAAATACTCATAGAAAACCACAAACCAACATTTTTTTTATTACGCCCTATATCTATTTGTCTCATGATTTATTGTTATATTTATGTATGTCTTTCTATGTATTTCTCTGGCCAGATGATACTAAAGAGGAAGGACCGTAAGTTTAAGTCCTGTGTGATCAACCACAGTGACATTTTTTTAAATTTGATGTTGCTTTGTAGGCAGAAAGTAAAATGTGCTCACGTTACTCCTCTGCAGCAGCAATCAGCTGCCTTGATCAGCTGCTTCACCAACATGTCTGCCTCATAAGTGAACTGCAATGTCTTCTGCATTTGAGGATGCTGACAAAGTCTAATCGCCCCCTCTAGTGGTGAAATGACGTTCATGAGGCAGGGTTGAAATACAGTGGCTGGGAGCTGCTTATAACACAATCAGGCTAGCTTTCTTGTCTATTAGATAATAATCTAAAAATTTGAGTTTGCAATTTATCAGAGGTGTCTACTTCACAAGAGCTTTCTAATTTTCCATGTTAGAGGGATTATTTCCAGCATCGATCCTGTTTTTCTGCAATCCCAAATCAAGTGTTCATTTGATTTTGCCAAGACAAACAAGGCATATTCCTGGCATTAACGCAGTGAGTTGCTAAACACAGGAAAGACTTTGTGACTTTAATGTTTCACCTGAATGTGAGACATTTGCTCCTACAGCAGCAGCTCTGTTCACTCATGGATACAGCATTTAATCCAAAGATGGGGTGGACTCACTGTATCGTCTTGTAAGTTTGGATGGAACTTTAAACCCATTTGTATATTGTACTTTATTAGTTTTTGTCATGAATGTCTAGCTTGATTTTGAAAATTTACTGTGTAAACATGCCATCATTGTGGAGCTGCTTCTTATATTAGCGTGTTACCTTCTGTCCAGTATTACAGATGAGCAGCATGTATAGGTTGACTGAGTGATCTGTCTCTCAGTATGCCGTATATAAAACCTCAACAACATTATATGGTTGCAACAGTTGTGTTGATTGCGTCACTGTGTTTGTTCTTTTTCTGTTTGCATCAACTTTGGACCAGCAGCTCAGATGACCCCCAAACTGATAAACAGATCGAATTGTCTCTGTCCCTTCATCTCTCCAGGTTTCTGTATGTGTCAGTGTGTGTGAGCTGGCGGCTGCCTGAACCTGAGCCTGTTATGCATGGGGCAGTCCAGTCCCCCAATTATCCCCAGCCTTACTCTCCCAACCTGCAGGAGCAGTGGGACCTCAGTGTGCCAGAGGGCTACCAGATCCGGCTCACCTTCACACACCTGGACATCGAAGCGTCTGCAGGCTGCTATTACGACTCCCTCACAGTCAGAGCCATATTTCAACACGTGAAATCCCAAACAAAAGACCAGTGTTGTAGTGTTTGAGTTCTTAACTTAAGTGTCACTTGAGTTTTGACAACTTGACTCAGGCTTGAATATTGATGACCTACTGTAGTACCCTTTCTCTGCCAACTACGTAGTCCTACATACATCGGCACGTTTTGCTGTTGTTGCCAAAATGTGCTGTGGTGTATCTCAGAATAACAAAGTGCATCATGGGTATTGTAAAAGGCCCTTTGTTTTTCTCATTGCAGTGGTCTCTTGTTGGTAGTAATCTCATGAGGAAGCAGCCCCATGTTATTTGTTTAGGCTTTTTTGGAGGCATGTCTTGATTGGCTATCATAGGAGTCAAAATAGCTAATTTCCCGACTGATATGAGACAGAGTTGCCAACTCGTTATGTTCTGTTTCCATCTTCAGTCTGACTTTGCATCCACTCTAACCAATAATAGTTGGGGAGGGAGATTCGATTTTCCCTTACTGCTCTCTAAAGACCAACATATCTTCCATGCCAACATATCTGTTTTGCTTGGGTTTTAAGAGTGGAAATGAGTAACCTAAAAACAAACTATAATGTCAATATTGAGAAGACATGTTGATTTAGAACAGCCCCGCTAGCACTGTCTATCTTGACAATAGTGCTCGCCTATGTTGTTATTACTCCTCATTAGTCCTGGTGCACAGCTTGGCAATCCTTACAAAAGCTTTGACAATGGCATTAGTTCCACTTTTGGTACCGATTGGTTGTTTTTTATTTTAAGTGAGAATCCGATCTTTCATGTAATGATGCCAGAAGAATCAGTCAACTCAAATTTGGCAGAGTTGGCTAATTAAAAGGCAAGCTTATTTCCCTTTAGGTATATCTAATGGAACCACCTTTTGTTTGGCACTTTCTGGGGATGAATATTTCTTCCTTTTTCCCAGAAAAGATGTGACAGTTGTAAACTTCTATGTTGTTTTTGTTGAAATATACTAGAGTTTACCACATTGGTTAAACTCAAATGCCACTTAGATGTAATGCAATGAGCCCGAAACACAACATTGGGATTTTATCATCTGATAAAGTTATGAAGATATGACAAATTAGCTGTGCTTTTGGCCACCAGATACATGTTAGTCCAATATTCACTTTACTTTTAGCTCGGTTTTGATCTCCACCAGCTCTTGATGGAAGTATTTGCCTCTTAAGCAGCTTGGGTTCATTAGTCACTAACAGTTTGTGCCATTTGGTGCTAAGTTGGATTTGTTAGCTCACAATGGGTTGCCAGAGCTGCTGAAACCTATGCTGATGCCATTAAGGCCCAGACGCACCAAACTGACATCATAGAACTAGTGGCGACAAGGCCAGTATCTGGATGTCATTTATGTCTTGGCCAAAACATTGTTCTTGGACACACTGCAGAGACTACAGGCAACGGCCAACTAGTACATACCTTTCACCCGTGTGAGAGGAAATTACTTTTCATACCAATAGGCAGTGATAGTCTATAATCGTCATTAAAAAAAAATGAAAACTGGATCACCAACAGGACGGGCTAAAGACACTAGCCAGCTAGTTAGCACATTAACAACACAACCCGAGCTGAATAGCCAATCAGAGGGATTTCTCTCTCTCTGATGGGCTCTGTTGGCCCCACTGTTGATTCAATATACTGACTCGGCCGAAAAGCCACCAACTAGGGCCAACTGCAAAAAATAGGGCAACACACGCTCACCATTGGCTTGGTGTATCAGGGCCCTTAAACCAAAACAATGAGTCGAAAGATGCTGAAAAACCTTCGTGGAGCTGAGGGGAACTGCAGAGTCAGCGGATAATTCTCTGTGGGTGTGTCAACAGGACAACCCCTTAGTATTATGCCTAGCCATTTCATCAATTGTTAATATAAAAATATTGATTAGAGCAGCTTTAAGCAATAGAAAAACTTGAGACTCAGACTTTAATCCAAACAAAGAAGATTTGGGAAGTGACTTTTGCTCAAGGTTCGGTGACTCAGCTGCAACACTGCAATAGATTTGGCTTCTGATGAGTGCTGCATGGTGTATTAAATCATTCTCACACTCTTCCTCACCATGATACAGATTTGACCCCTTATGTGATCCCTCAGGTTCTCTATGATGCAAAGATCCTGGGGAAGTTTTGTGGCCATGAGAACTCGGCTGATGGGCATCACCCAGGCACCCAGCCCATCTTGTCTCCAGGCAACACGCTCACCCTCATATTTCAGTCAGACGACAACAACCCAGAGCGCCACCAGAATGTGGGCTTCTCTGCTCAGTACCAGGCAATAGGTAGTACTCATCAATCTTCTGTCACTTCACTCTTCAGGACTGAACCACCTCCCACTAACTTAATGTCTCTCTCATTATCAGACAGAGATGAGTGCTCTGAGCCAGAACCTGACGATGGCTCAGGTCCACTCTGCTCTCAGATCTGCCTCAACACCCTTGGCTCGTACATCTGCTCTTGTCACCACGGCTATGAGCTTCGCCCAGACCAGACCAGCTGCGTGTGTGAGTATTGTGCAGATATATAGTGTACTTCCCATGTATACTTTAGAGGGGCCAGGATGTGTAGCAGGGGAGACAATGCTCAGTCAAACGGTTGTGATTACCACCCCAAACATCTGTTTCAGTCAAGACACTTGTGTCAATGAACTGCCCATTTATGACAACTAGTTACAGTATATAAATATATTTGGCAAAAAAGTCTTTGATCTTTGAGGGAGCTCTCTAAGAAACTGAGCAGCAAGTCTGCTAGAACAAATCCATGCTTAACAAATACATCCATGCCCATTAGATTTTAGTGAAATCAACAATATTAAAAGCCAATGGAGTCTAGTGGTGTTGACAAGAGCGTTTACTATGGATGTGAACCTCATACAACCCCACTTCTAACCTGAATGTTTCTTTTCTAATCACTCAGTATCCTGCGGCGGTGGTATATTTGATGAGCCAGAGGGATATCTGTTCAGTCCAGGATACCCAAACCCCCCACCTCATGCTGTGTCCTGTCAGTACATCATTTCTGTAGAAGCTGGCTTCACTGTCTCTCTCAACTTCACTGACAACTTCCACATTGAGAGCGTGGACACCGAGCAAGGCCCAAACTGTCTCCATCACTGGTTAGAGGTAATGACAAGCAGCTATATATACTGTAGATGGAACAGGGCGCTAAAGAGATATAACGAGCTATGCACTACTTGTCCTTTAAAAGGTGACCATCCCAGAGAGAGAGCCCATCAAGCTGTGTGGTGGGAAGAGTCCAGGTCTGATAGCTACAAACTCCAGCACGGTCACACTGGACTACCATACTGATGATGAAGGCCAGAGTCGCGGCTGGAGCCTTGACTATAGCACAAACAGTGAGGGATAGAGGAATGACAGTTGAAATGAGTCGAGGAGGATTGTCGAAATTTTGTCACTAAATGAAATACATTTTCTACAATATTGTCTGATTGCAACTAACTATAGATTTTCAGTTGATATTACATGTCTGCTTGTCTGTGGTGTTTCCAGGAGTGAAGTGTCCTATTCCTGGTGATGTAGCTATGGGCAGGGTCACTCCCATATTGACTGAGTATTTCTACAGAGACTACATCTTTGTGCGCTGTGACCAAGGATACAAGCTGATGATGGTTAGATGAACTGCTAACTTAATAAATCAGCTTCTTTATTTGTCACTGTGAGCAATATGAAAACAAATATTACGCTGATGTTTTATCGGTTCTCATCTTTTCTCTGTCAGGATGGTGAGGAGATTACCAGTTTCTCTACCATGTGCCAAAACAATGGACAGTGGCACCTCCCTCTACCAGAATGCCACAGTATGTTTTCTTTTGACTCAAGAAAATTGTAAAATTAATGGAAACTATATTGTGATTCAACCCCAAATGATGTCTGCTTGATCATTTCCTGCGTCTCACTGGCAAAATAATAACATGTCCTTGTTTTGTTCATCTGCAGTAATTGATTGTGGAGAACCTGAACCTCTGCTGAATGGAGGATGGGCCTTCCTGTCTGGCTTTGACAATCAGTACCTTTCTGTTGTTCAGTATTACTGTAATGGACCCTTTTACACTCTACTTGGTGGCATTAATGGTAAGATATCAACATTTTGTATTCTGTGATGTATAGCTTTATGTTTTTCCCACATTTCCTACCAGACATTGGTTTCCATTAAGTGCAGATGGATTTTTCCGTTGCATTCCCCCTCACTAATGATGTACATTTTGCAATAGGTCTTGCAAACTTGATGTTTAACATGATGAATACACAATGTCAGCAATATTTAAGAGTGTGCTAATAAATGAAAACCAGTGGAAACCTGGACATATACTGAACAAAAATTTAAACACAATACTTTTGTTTTTGCTCCCATTTTTTTACAGGTTTGGGTTAAAGATCTTAAAGTTTTTTCAAACACACTATAAATATTTCTCTCAAATTTTGGTTGCAAATTTGTTTAAATCCCCATTAGTGAGCACTTCTCCTTTTCCAAGATAATCCATCCACCTGACAGGATGCTGATTAAACAGCATCATTACTACAAATGTGTGCCCTGGGGTGGTTGCAATAAGAACAGGGATGCAGGGATGTCCATTAGAACTGTTACCTTTGAATTGAATGCTCATTTCAGTACCAAAAGCTGTCTCCAGTACTGTTTTGGCAGTGAATTTGGCAGTACATCCAACTGGCCTCTTGATATGCCACATCTGTCATGAGGATGGATTATCTTGGAAAAGGAGAAGTGCTCACCGACACGGATTTGAACAAATCTGTGACCAAAATTTTGCCAAAAATATGTTGAGTGCATGAAAGAAGTCTTAGATATTTAACCTAAACCTGTGAATATTGGGAGCAAAAAAAGTGTTCTGTTTAATTTTTTTGTTCAGTGTACATTTGATACAAAACATATTTGAAAAGAATTCAATGAACTCCTCAAATACCAACGCTTGATCACTGGCCTTACCATCAAACTATACTGCTCTAGGTACCCCTTTGGCGTCAGTTTTTGACACTCAAGGACACGTTGTGGATTACGCTTGTTACATGCATTGTGTCTTTTCAAAATAAACATTTGTTTTCATAAGATATGTACAGTTTCTGCTCGTTACATGCACATATTCTCTTTGCAAAATAAACTTAGAACATGAGAAAAACCCCCGAGTTATTAGGTGTTTTCTCAGGTTTAGGCAACAAAAGCATGTGGTTAGGTTTAGAAATAAACCCATCATGATTTGGCTTGAAATAAGTATGTTTGATGCAAATGTAATATAACGTCATATGACATAAATCACATACGTCATCTGACATATGTCACTAGCGAAATATGCTACACATCCGAACGCACTACGTTATAAAAATAACTGCAGGACACAAACAGCAGCCACCTAGTCAAAGTCCAAAGTTTGTTTGACCCATTCACCTCCCCACTTCTGCCCACACTATGCGTACTTGCTCTTCATACTACGACAGTTGCTTAGAGCGTCAAAAATTGCTGCGTCCTAGTGCATCTGGTACTGCCACAAAATGGTGCCTCTTTGCGTCGGTATGTGACATGAGGGCCACTGACCAAGCATTGGTATTTGACTAGTTGGGAGTGAGACCGAGTTTAACAGTGATGTCACAGTGCACTGACACACCCGGGAGTGCATTTGTACATAACTGACTGATTTTTATTTCTTGATCTCTCTGCTCTGCAGTTATGTTCACCTGTGAGGCTGACAGAAAGTGGAGATCCAACAACGATATTGTTATCAGTCCAATATGCATACCAGGTATTGCTTTTTATTACAACAATAAAACACTGGAAAACCTAATTAATATCTAAATCTCTTTTCTCTCTTTTACTGAAACTCTTTTGTGAAACTTAATAAAAACATGTACATCTGTATCCCATCTAGTCTGTGGCCAGCCCACAAAACTCCTCACTGGCTATCAAAGGATTATTGGAGGGAGTGAAGCTCCAGAAAACACCATCCCCTGGCAAGTGATGCTGAGTGTTGATGGAGGAAGAGGAGGAGGCATGGTGATTGCAGACCGCTGGATTATGACTGCAGCTCATAATTTAGTTCATGATGGAAATCCAGTTTCAAAAGACACTGTACGGGTAAGTGGTCAATTTTAGGTGTTACTTACATGTCCATTGCCTCCATGTTTTTGAATTTCCATTTATTTTTTTCTATGTTGTTGATTTGCAGATTTACATGGGACTTACTGATGTTAAATCCCTGTTGGGCTCTCCTGTGTATGCTGCTTCAGTCCACATTCACCCTGAATACAACAACCCCAACTTGTTAGACTACAACAATGACATTGCCTTGATCAAACTTCAAGACCGGATCACATTCAACTCATCCATTATGCCAGTATGTTTGCCAGCAGAGGGTGCCACATACATGACTGGAGAGATGGGGTAAAGAAACAACTACTGGATTTAATTTCATAATGCTTTATAATTAAATTCTATGTGGTAACACTTTACTTAAAGGTCAGGTCTATAATGCATTATGAGCACATCCATAAGACATTATAACGCATTTATAAGGCTTTATAAACGTCGTTATAACTGTTTATAATCATGTATGACAACTTATAACAAAGAAAGTATTATAAGTGGTTACATAATGCATTATAAATTCAGCATTCATAACGCTTTATACTTCCATGCCAAAGTGACGACAGTGTTGAAAGAAGAATCTGAAGTACTGGCATTATACCGTTTCAGAAATTAAGCATTTATTATATGTCAGAGCAGTTCTTTGAGTCTTTATAACTAGCTAAAGTTATGATAGTTATAATGTGCTATGTAACCCAGTACTTCAGATTCTTCTTTCAAACACTGTCGTAACTTTGGCATGGAAATATAAAGCATTATGAATGCTGAATTTATAATGCATTATGTAACCACTTATAATACTTTAAAAACCTTGTTATAAGTTGTCATACATGATTATTAACATTTGTAACAACGTTTATAAAGCCTTATGAATGTGTTATAATGTCTTATAAATGTGCTCATAATGCATTATAGACCTGACCTTAAGTAAAGTGTTACCAATGTATTTTATTATTTATTTATTTTCTCCTTGTTGTGCCAACTGTGAATCTTTTAAACAAGCGACTCAGGTTTCCTCTTTCTACTGGGCTCACCATAATTGTCTCTTCTTTGTTTTCTTTGTTTTTTTTCAGACTGGTGTCAGGCTTTGGCATTACAGAAACTGACACCAGACGGATTTTAACAAATAAGCTGAAATACGTGCAGGTCCCTGTGGTGGAGCAGGCCACATGCAGTAATTCAGTTGCTTTGTTGAAGAGGAATCGGGACAATGTACCAGATCTGACAAATAACATGTTCTGTGCTGGAGTCCCTGAAGGTAAGAAGGACTCCTGCCAGGGTGACAGTGGAGGCCCCTTCGCCCTGAGACATGACGGTCGGTTCTGGGCTGCTGGGATCGTCAGCTGGGGGGTTGACTGCGGAAAGCAAGGAACATATGGAGTCTACACCAGAGTCGCTAACTATGTAGGCTGGATCAACACGACTATGCAGGAGAATTAAAATTTACAGTAATTCATTACAATATGATGTGAAGATGTTGAAGAAACAAAACATCTACATCAAAATAAAAAGGGAACACACTTTTCCCTAAATATACTCTTTCTGCATATTGTGTCTACTATGAATTAAGGTAATGTTCCAATGTACGGTAAAATGATCAAGTGCAATCATGATTAGAACCATTTAAAAATCTCTCTAAAATTATGAAATAAATGTAATACTGTTATAAAGTCACTGCAAATTTCCTAAAAGTGTATTTTTGAATAAAGTGACATCATACATACTCAAATTTGCCTTTTCGTGTTTGTATTTCAGATAAATCGTCCACTTAATGTTGAAAACATCAATCTTTAGTTGGAGCTTGGCTGTTATGCTTTCCATCAAATATAGACTCCTCAATCTTTCCCTCCATTGTTGGACAGTTGGTGGCTTTATATTTCTCCATATAACTGTGATCATTTTTTTGCAATCTACAGCAACACCCAGACACCAAGATATGTCTGGTTTTTAGTGTCTATATCATCTGGAGTGTCTCACTGGCTCTAGAGGCAGGTCTTCCCCTATGATTTGCTTAATCTCCACCTTAATGTTTATTCAATTTGGGACAATCCCATGGTTGCAATTTGTCCACATTGTCTCCAGCATAATTCAGAGGTGTTGCTGTATCTTGCCAACATGAGAGCAGTCTTAAATAATCTCATTCTAGTCTTTCATTCAAACTTCCTCCAGGTAGGGCGACTTGTTAGCTTGTGACCCTCTCTGCATGTCTTCTCCAACACATTTGTATTTTTAATATTCATTTCTAATTCCCATTTCTGTTTTGTTTCCATAGTGTTTCCTGTTATGTATTCTTGAAGACCTCTGTTTAAGTGGGCAATCAGATTCTTTTTAATCACTCCCTATCATTGTTAATTAACGTGAACTATGTCTTTATACTGTGAGTACTAGTTACTTCATGTCTTTTCATGAACTCACAAAAGAGATTCTTTTTGGTCTTTACTGTACTGTGCACTGTGCTTATACCCTGGAACCTTGTACTGTACAAAAAACAGTTTTATACCTCATTCTTCTGGTTGCGTTAGTCAGAGTTACTGAGCCCTGTTTTTCACCACTTCATACCTGTATTTATTTTGCCAAAACAAACAAATCCTGAAGGTTAAATTCCATTGCAAAGTACTGGAAACCACAGCCTGTGTCACATTAATGGTTCGTCTGAGCATGAGACATTTTGCTTAAAACTTAAGTCACACAGAGATTCACTAATTGTAGACATGGCATGGACCTACTGTGTTATATGGTAAGCTTAGTGAAATCTTCTCACCTTTATGTTTTAGTGTATGTTTTAGTGTTTTTTTCTTTGTCATGGATTTCTCTCTTGAAAAAATGCAGTATAAACATAATATAAGAGGTGGCTAGTGAATGGAAGGAGAGACTACAGGATGGCTGGGGCCCTACTGTGTGGAGTTTGCATGTTCCTTATGTATTGGGGTGGGTTTACTCTGCAGTTCTCTGGCTTCTTCCCACAGCCTAGAGACATGCAGGTTAACTTAGCCGTTTACTACATAACAGGGACTGTAAATGATTGTTAGTGTTGTGTTATACCATTGCTACTGTTCAGACAGCACTGCCTGATGCTGTTGTGTTACACGTCACAACGGTCTCATCTCTTTTCCATTAACACCAGCATGCTATGTAAAGTCATACAATGGGGTGGCATAATCACAATAGATAGTTGGACATACTATAAGTTTGGCACTACACCACAGCACTGTCTATAAGCAGGTTTTTAAGGTTGATTATATGTGATACATTTATCAAAGTACACTAGAAAAAACTGCAGCAATAGGTTACTTTTTGGTTGCAAAAGTTTAAATATACTGTGTCACTTTGTTTGTTCTTTTTCTGTTTGCATTAACTTTGGACTTACAGTTTAGTTCAACTCTTTCTATTGATGCACAATTCCAGGTTTCTGTGTTTGTGTCTGTCTGTAATACATGGGGAACTCCAGTCCCCTCAGTATCCTCAGCCTTACCCTCCCAACCTGCTGAAGAAATGGAACCTCAGTGTTCCAGAGGGATACCAGATCCAGCTTTCCATAACACATCTGGATATTAAAGCTTCTCCAGGCTGCATTCAAGATTCACTGACGGTCAGTGATATTGAAACCTTCTCTGTTCACTTTAACTTGAGTGTTAATGACCTGCACAACTTACAGTCTTGAAATGGAAACAGGAACTCCATGCATGCCTTTTTTATGAACTACAAATCATTGCAGGCCAATTCTTATTGTGTATCTGTCTGGTCATCCTGACTGATGTACAGTAAACTTGATGGTGGGGAAGGGCCAACTCAAAGTTGCCGTTTGGACTTGTTGAGAATTTGAGTCTCAGGTCAGAATTGGACTTTTTATGCAGTGAGGACTTGACTCAGACTTGATGTCTGGTGCCTCAAATGGGCTGTTAAACTATATTAACATCTTGTCCTCATGCACAAACACTGAAATTCAATTCTGCGTAGAGCAAGACTATATAACATTTGAAAGAAGAAATGACAGATTCTTCCTTTGACAAACGAGGAGTTTAAATCTTAAGCAATAAAACGTATCATGGCCTAGGGCCTTCCACCCAACTACTTTTGCTCTGGCTTTTTTGTGCAGCCACTCCAAGCACTTCTAGTTGAAAATCTCTGAACTTTTCAGAAAGGCGCTGGTGTCGTCACCGCTGCTCTTTGCGACTTTCTAGCTATGTGATATGACTGTCAGAATCATCATGACAAAGACAAAACAGTCAATTTGTGACAGTTGACTGGCTGGGCACTGAATGTTGCTGGTGAGTGCTTTTGTCACTGTAGCTACAAATTGTTAGCTTGTTGTCAACCCTCTGTTAATGTAGCATAATATTAGTGACCTAGCTAATGTTAATGTCAAGATACTATTGCCACAGAAACAAAACCCACACGTAGCCCCTCTGGGAGCATTTCTTTAAGGAAGCGCTTGGATGAAGTGTTCCCCAGTGCCCTGCTACTGCCAAAGAAAAATAGAAAAAGGAAAATGCTTTTTGGGCACAGGCCCTCAATTGGTCTGGGATGACCACTAGCATATGGTGGCTAATGGTAGCCAGTGTTAGCAAACTCTAGGTAAATATTGTTGTATAGGGGAGGGGAAGTAACTTCCTTGACTTTTTGATTTTCCTCCACTTGTGGTACTGTAGTACAACATGTTAGCTAAATGCCCTACAATAGATTAGCATTCAGTGTTACTGTCACTTCAGCAAATAATCTAGCCTTAACTGACCTTAAATGGAACTGCGCTGGTTGCGGAAGTCCTAATCGTGATCTGTGGTCTCACAATGTCCATTTTACTCTTTACACATTCAGGTTCTCCATAATGGAAAGGTCTTATGGAAGTTTTGTGGCCAGGAAAATTCAGCTGATCACCCAGGTAAAGAGGCGATGCGCTTTCCAGGCAACAGACTGACTCTCATATTCCAAACAAGTAACTCCACTCCAGAGCTCCAACAGCATATTGGCTTCTCTGCTAACTCCAAGGCAATAGGTAGGACTTTTCTGGTCACTTCCATCTTCCCTACTTAAGATTTGACATACAGTACAGGCCAAAAGTTTGGACACACCTTCTCATTCAATGCGTTTTCTTTATTTTCATGACTATTTACATTGTAGATTCTCACTGAAGGCATCAAAACTATGAATGAACACATGTGGAGTTATGTACTTAACAAAAAAAGGTGAAATAACTGAAAACATGTTTTATATTCTAGTTTCTTCAAAATAGCCACCCTTTGCTCTGATTACTGCTTTGCACACTCTTGGCATTCTCTCCATGAGCTTCAAGAGGTAATCACCTGAAATGGTTTTCCAACAGTCTTGAAGGAGTTCCCAGAGGTGTTTAGCACTTGTTGGCCCCTTTGCCTTCACTCTGCGGTCCAGCTCACCCCAAACCATCTGGATTGGGTTCAGGTCCGGTGACTGTGGAGGCCAGGTCATCTGCCGCAGCACTCCATCACTCTCCTTCTTGGTCAAATAGCCCTTACACAGCCTGGAGGTGTGTTTGGGGTCATTGTCCTGTTGAAAAATAAATGATCGTCCAACTAAACGCAAACCGGATGGGATGGCATGTCGCTGCAGGATGCTGTGGTAGCCATGCTGGTTCAGTGTGCCTTCAATTTTGAATAAATCCCCAACAGTGTCACCAGCAAAACACCCCCACACCATCACACCTCCTCCTCCATGCTTCACAGTGGGAACCAGGCATGTGGAATCCATCCGTTCACCTTTTCTGCGTCTCACAAAGACACGGCGGTTGGAACCAAAGATCTCAAATTTGGACTCATCAGACCAAAGTACAGATTTCCACTGGTCTAATGTCCATTCCTTGTGTTTCTTGGCCCAAACAAATCTCTTCTGCTTGTTGCCTCTCCTTAGCAGTGGTTTCCTAGCAGCTATTTGACCATGAAGGCCTGATTGGCGCAGTCTCCTCTTAACAGTTGTTCTAGAGATGGGTCTGCTGCTAGAACTCTGTGTGGCATTCATCTGGTCTCTGATCTGAGCTGCTGTTAACTTGCGATTTCTGAGGCTGGTGACTCGGATGAACTTATCCTCAGAAGCAGAGGTGACTCTTGGTCTTCCTTTCCTGGGTCGGTCCTCATGTGTGCCAGTTTGGTTGTAGCGCTTGATGGTTTTTGCGACTCCACTTGGGGACACATTTAAAGTTTTTGCAATTTTCCGGACTGACTGACCTTCATTTCTTAAAGTAATGATGGCCACTGGTTTTTCTTTAGTTAGCTGATTGGTTCTTGCCATAATATGAATTTTAACAGTTGTCCAATAGGGCTGTCGGCTGTGTATTAACCTGACTTCTGCACAACACAACTGATGGTCCCAACCCCATTGATAAAGCAAGAAATTCCACTAATTAACCCTGATAAGGCACACCTGTGAAGTGGAAACCATTTCAGGTGACTACCTCTTGAAGCTCATGGAGAGAATGCCAAGAGTGTGCAAAGCAGTAATCAGAGCAAAGGGTGGCTATTTTGAAGAAACTAGAATATAAAACATGTTTTCAGTTATTTCACCTTTTTTTGTTAAGTACATAACTCCACATGTGTTCATTCTTAGTTTTGATGCCTTCAGTGAGAATCTACAATGTAAATAGTCATGAAAATAAAGAAAACGCATTGAATGAGAAGGTGTGTCCAAACTTTTGGCCTGTACTGTATTTAAACTAATATAAATGCATATTAATTCAACTTTAGGTTAGGTTCTTCTTTAATG